AGCTGAGGGAAAGACTTTATGTACAGGTTTGGAAATAAACATTGTTGGGACACTTGTCAACATTAATACAAGCAGAAATAAATAATTTGTGGGACATAAAAATATAAAATATTAAACTTTAGAAAAACTGAAAAAAGGGCAGCAAGAAAACCATTTTAATGTACATGTGTGTCTACATGTATATTCATATGCATACAGACTTAGATGTCATTAGAGATGTATGTTTTGTAGTTTAATATGTACTTGTTTGTTAGGCATGTCTGTGTTTATGTATACATAAATGTGGTTGGTTTATTATTTGTGATATTTTATTTAAAATATGAGGTGGGGGAGAGAGAAATTGTTGTCTAAAAAGATGATATATAACAAGTGCAGCACGTTCTCTCAATAGCCATGGAAGGAGGTATCATAGGTTTTCTGTCTGTCACATTGCAGTAAACGAGCCCCTTTTCCCTCAGATGAGAGACACTGTTTGCAAAGTACTAAATGATATATCATTAAGGGATTGAACGACGTTGTTGTAGGGATTAAAACAACCTTGTTTTCTTGGTACCAAATTCCCATGGAGGGAATGCTGCGTTAATGATCCAAAAGCGTTGCAAGTGTGTGTTACAGCTGCTGCTGGAATTAAAACGGATAGCCTCATTAGGTTCCTGGGTGGCTTTAAAAGGATTATTTCTTAGAGCTCAACCCGTCGCTGTTTGGGGCCTGGTTCCTGGCATGGGCTCCCTTCCTGCCGCAGTTCCTTGGGGCAGACAGACATTGCTGCTGCTTTCGCAGAGCTCTTGTATGTGTGTGTCTCCCGTTGCTACGCAACCTTAAAACAGAGAGGAGCTCCCAGTGACGCAGGGCCCAGATGAGCCAGCGGCTGAAGCAGAGTGAAATTCTCTGGCTGAGATCCTCAGGCCTTTGGTGGGGCCCTGTTTCATGCAGAAGAGACCAAGGCAGAAGGAGGAAGTCTCCCTTCCTGCAGTGTGTCTTGATGGACGACGTGGAAACTCATTGTACGCAAGGCATTGAATCCTGCCCTGCGTCCCAGGTGCCTGGATGTTTGCTCTCCTTATCTCTCCTGTTTCATCGCCTGGAGATAGCGTCATGCTCATTGGGGTTCTTGCAATGATAACATCCCAAAGGCTGGTAAATACCAACATCTGGCATGCTGGGAAGACAGATCCAGATAAAAATGTAGACAATAGATGAAAAGACACTGCAAATGGGGGGGGGGACTGGCACATCACTCACAAAGGCATGAATTATGCCATTTGGACTTTTTCACCACTAAAAGAGCATGTTCACTTTTTCTAAATGTGTGCAGTGATGCATTGATCGGAAAGGAAGGCTTGTCTCTTCAAGGCTGTGACTGCAGACAAGGCAAATAGTCCTCTGCAATTGCCCCAACTATGTAGTAATAAAGCACTTGGATTCAAGCGGCTTCAGGAATTCTGCAGCTCCCGTCATCCTTATGCAGCATGACCAGTGATGCTGGGAGAAGATGAGACTTGCCTTTCAGTAAGATCTGGAAGGCAACAATTTGTACCTGTATGAATGCAATGGAGAGCTATGGTATAAGAGTAGGGAAAGAAAGGCCTTTTCTTCCTTTTTTCTTCCTCCCTCTGTGGAAATTCAACCCTAAAGCCTGGTTTGCACTCTGTAAATCTCACTGCCATGGTGCATAAAGCCCCAAAGAAGTCTCTCACCTTTTCAGAAACATTGTAAAGCCGGGTATCGTTCTCCCACTTGCTGTGCTCAAAGCTTCCCCTCCTAGAAAGAGATTTATTGGACTAGGTTAACTAGGCAGTGCATCCTGCCCACAAATGCCTTTGAAATATGCTGCAAAATCTCACCCAGTTTGCCTTTCTGAGCTGCCAGAGCTGCTTGGCCAGGGTTTGCCAGAATTGAGCTGGTCTCTTCAGTTCTGGAAAATGTTCATTTGATTCCCAGTTAGTTTCTGGCTGGCAATTCAGAATATTTATTCTTTATATTGTGTCCACAAAGGTCAAAGTCATGTAATATGATCAAAAAATTAATAGCAGTAGAAACAATATTGAGTTGAGATGTTGGTCCTGTGTGGGGATTATGCAAGTATAAAGTGCCAATTACTTCATATGGAAGTGCTTTGAAGTAAAATGAACAGAAAGGTTGTATTCGATGCCTGTGGAGCTGTTGACTATCTGGGCCAACTCTGAGAGCATTTAAAGCCCTGATTTTCTTGTCTTGGTGATTCAGAGAGACGCAGAAAGCTGTGAGACCTGTCATTAATGGAGGCAGAATCCAGATGCCAGAATTCCTGCTGCTTCCTAATGGTGAGCGCAGGTTTAAGTAGCATTTAATGGTGGTGCCATTTCAGCCCGTTAAGCTCCAGGCCCTTCTGCTTTTCAGAGCAAGGTTTTTTTGTTGGAGATTGGTAATATTTGCCAGAGGGGAAGCCGGCCCTTTGACTTCATGGATCATGGAGCCTTTCTGTCTTGGCAGAGCTGCAGATGTTTTCCGTGGGGCCTGGCAGCCAGTCCAGCCATTGTGCTCTGGGAAGAGAGCAGGATGTATTTATTAGTGACGCAGCCTCTCTATGCCCTGGAAAATTCACTTTCCCAAGGTTTAGAAAGCCCTTCTCAACCAAGGCAGAAAGTGTTGTGCTTTGCTCACTGAAGAAGTCCTAAAGCAGAGAAAGCAGTGCTTTGGAATGAACACTTGCACATTTCAGAAATCGGGTTTCCCTTCCTTTTATCACCTTTACATCTTCACCCCAGATTTTTCTGTGTTTAATCTCTGAGTCAAGGTTTGGGAAGGGAACTGTGCTCTCATAGGGGCCCTAACTCAGTCCATAGCCTTTCCTAATATGTACCAGCTTTAGCTTATCTTTCTCCTTCATTGTTGACCATGAACAGCCTATTTGTTTCCAACTTCTCAGCCTACTTTTCAGGTTTATCTGCAATCGCAAAGGGAGGACGCAGGCAAGGAGGAAGCCTTGGCGTTCCTTCCAGCTGGGAAATTGTCTTTCTTTACAAAGTGGATAGCAGACCCTCCTCTCCCTAGCAGCCCTTCATACCAAGTGCATTATTCAGAGTCAAAGCAAAGCTGAGAAAATCTCAAGTGCTTGATAGCAGGGACTTGCAATTTTTTTCTAACCGAAAGTGAAACCATTCAATGATCTTTCCTGAATGACTATGTAGTACAGTACAGAATCTAAGATCTCTTTTGTAAAATATTTTTCTTGCAGGAAACTCTTGGAAATATGTTAGCATTGGTTATATCAGTCCACTAGTTTGGCACGGACTGGATGATGATGATGATGATATGTTTGTTACTCACCTCTCCTTAAAAGTGCAATATGGTTAAAGCACATATGTGAAATATAATAATATTAAAATACATATAATAAAATACAGTCAACACAATAGAAAATTATAACAATAACAATGAAAATAATAAATGTATTACCCGCCCCTCCTTGTGGCTTGAAGTGGGATACAACATTATTAAAACAGGGAGATAAAACATAATGGAAAAGATAACCAACCAATAAGCAGACATTTATCCCACTGGCTCATCCCAAGTTTCGACTATATTATTTCCTCTCCTTTCCATTTGCACAAACTACCTACTTTGTGGAGCTCTTCCCCTGGGCAGCCAGTGAAATAAGAACTCTATATGAACACTAATATTCTTTGCATTTTTGAATTATCTTGAAATGAAATAGGGATACTGTTTTCAAATGTGTTTTAATTTAATGCTGGATTAGATTAGGTCTTAGAAGGGGGACGTAATTCCCTGACCGCTACACGATACATATGTGTGCACATGCAGTTTTTCACAGAGTCTTTGGTGTAGAGAAGCTGCAGAACCGCCATTATGAAGTCCATTGAAATAATTAATGAGTTAGTCAAGATTTGGTCCTGTCTCTTAGCAGAAGGCAGATTTATCTGGCCTCCAATGGTTTTCCTAATGCCTGCTACTCATATTGGAACTGGACAGTTTTTTCAGCAGCTGGGCCTTTGCAAAACACACTGACCAGCTATTTTGAGGAAGGTTTGTGTGAGGGTACAGAGGGACCTATCTTCCGCTTTAGTCCTTATGTAAATTGTGGTTATTGTGCAGCTTCTTTAATTCATAGTTTCCAGCAACATAATGCCTTGGGTTTCCATGGGAAGAAAGGTGGGATATAGATAAAGTCAATAATAATAATGGAAAGGTGCTTTTGTCTTGCACACATATCCAACAGCTCTCTGGGATGCTGCAGATCAGACTTGGTCCCCTTGGTTCAGCATTTAACTTTCCTAAAGCTCTCAATTGCATCTCCTAGCTTATATCTGGTTTTACTTATGACATTTCTCCCTGTCCTTTCCTTAAGAAGCACCCATTCTGCTTAAGATGAAAGGAAATGTTTTCCTTGCAGTTCTAGGATTAGCTTCCTGGCTCTGTCAGGACTCCAACTCGCATCTTCACTGTCCTAACTTTAATCTTGGCCATTACATTTGCTAATGGAGACCAGCATTCCTGAGCCTCATCTTCCCTTATCATCCACTAGAAATTACAGTACAAACTCCCCCCCCCTTTTTTTTTGTAACCAGGAAGGATGTTTCCTGTGTATCCTCTGTCCAGTGTCTAGGAGCCTCAAAGGGGCATTTCAGGGCATCCTGTCTGGGATGCCATGGATATGTTCAACAGATGGGCTCAAGAAATAGAAAATGTGTGTCCCCAAATTTCCCAGGGTCTCCGTTGTGACATATCTTCGTTCTCCAGCCGTTTCTGGGAACCAAAATATCAGAAAACAGGCCTCTTCCCAAAGCTATTGTTGGTGCATGCTCTTCCTGTTGCCTTTTGCAATTCTAGTTCCCTGGTGAGGGGTGATTCTTAAACTCGGTGAAGAACCACTCTTCAACCTTGCTGTTTGGTTTGGATAAACTAGGCTTATTTCTGCATACAAAGGTCTGTTTGCACTCTATGGCTTTACTCTGTGCACAACATGATTCTCATGCTCCTTTGTTTCTGTCTTTCACCAGAGCGGAGAAAACCGAAGTCCTCAGCGATGACCTGCTACAGGTATTTAAAAGTGAATTCATGAATGCTGGGTCTTAATTCCTTTCGTGAGTTGTTTTGTGCTCTTTTGCAGTTTTCTTTTCTGGTGGTTAATGCTCATCCTGCTTTGGTTAAGAAGGCTGCAGCATAACTTCAGTCCGCCAAAAATAGTCAACCAGGTCACACTCTAATTGAATGTTTGTGGGGCAGAGCTGTCAAAAATGAAACAAACAGTGTGAAATTGCTGTTTTTCACCCCAGTGTTTCACGGTGTGATGATCAGGACCTTTCCGTTCCCCAGAAAGAGGCCTGCAAAGTATGTGTGCATCTGTTATTTTGAGGAACTCATCTGGTTAACCAAGCAGAGGAAGGGGAAAGGAAGCTGCAGGTGCCCCAACGTAATGCTTCTGAATATAAATACTTTTTCTCTGTTGAGTCTTTGCTCTCTGACTTGATGGTTATTTTCAGCAAAGGGCTCATTAATTGTCATAGAATCCTAGAGTTGTGGGAGACCTGAAGGGTCATCAAGTCTAACTGCGTAAGAGAGAGAGAGAGAGAGAGAGAGAGAGAACATCATAGAATTATTAACTTGGAAGAGACCCCAATGACACACAGTTCAGCCCTTAAGACAGACAGAAAGAAAGATGGACAATAAAATAATATTATTTATTTATTTATTTATTTAAAAACACTTATATTCTGCCCTTCTCACCCCAAAGGGGACTCTGAGCGGAGCACAACATATACATGGCAAACATTCAATGCCTGTGTACAATACATAAACATTAAAAAACATTTATCTAAATATTAAAATACACCATTTAAAATAACACAATTTAAAACCGTCCTAGCCATCCGCATCAAATCCAATTGGCCCTGTCATCTTTCCCATTGTCGCTTCATTACCCTGTCCCGAAAGCTTGGTCCCACAGCCAAGTTTTTACCATCCTTCTAAAGGACAGGAGGGAGGGAGCTGACGTGATCTCACAAGGAAGGGAGTTCCATAGCTGGGGAGCAATCACCGAGAAGGCCTTGTCTCTCGTCTCCACCAATCGCGCCTGTGACAATGGCGGGACGGAAAGCAGGGCCTCCCCGGAGGATCTTAATCTCCGCAATGGTACGTAGAATTGTAGAGTTGCAAGGGATTCCCAAGGATCATCCAGTCCAACCCCCCAAAGAGAGAGAGAGAGAGAGAGAGAGAGAGAGATGATAAAGTTGGAAGACACCACAAGGGCCACCCAATCTAACCCCTTAAGATCTAGGTACGTACATACATACATGATAACATAATAGATTCCTAGAGTTGGAAAGGAGCCCAAGGGCCATCCAGTCCAGCCCCTGACAGGCAGGAAAGGAACCATCCGATCCTTCCCAACAGATGACCATCCAGCCTGTGCTTATAAATCTTCAGAAACGGAGACTCTAAGGCAACCTATTCCATTTCCTGCCATTTGACCCCATGGCACTATTGTGTCCCAGTCTCTGGAGCAGCAGTAAACAAGTTTTCGCTTTTCTCTTCAGTACAACATCCTTCTAAACATTTCAACATAGCCACCATGTCCCCTTCTCCCAGCCTCCTTTTCTCCAAGCTAAACATCCCAGCCATGTTCACTGAGTCTAACACAGGAGTCCTCAAACTTTTAAAACCGGGGGCCAGTTCACTGTCCCTCAGACCGTTGGAGGGCTGGACTATAGTTTTCTTTTAAAAAAATCAATAAAAAATTCCTATGCACATTGCACATATCTTATTTTGCTGTGTGGAAGGGCCCTTAAAGGGGGTTCTTTCTAGCCCTCTTTAGGCAGTAATTCCAGGAGCAGAGAATGGGAAATCTTCCTATTTCTAGTCTGAACAAAATCTGGCTACCAGTATTTAAAAAACCTCTAAAATTATAACTGTAAATAAAGAACAACACTCAAACACAGGGGAACTCCAGACAAGAAACAATCAGGGCCAGCTAATCACCTCTCAACAAAGGATTCTCCCTAAAAACTGTCAGGCTATGAAATGGTAATCAAGGTGGCCAATTGAAACATTCATACCTACCTCCAACAGACAAGAGTTCTTTCTCCCACCCTGGATCTTCCACAATTTTCCTAGTTAAAGGTTTTCCTCTGACATGAAGTCCAGTCGTGTCTGACTCTGGGGTGTGGTGCTCATCTGCATTTCTAAGTCGAAGAGCCGGCGTTGTCCATAGACACCTCCAAGGTCATGTGGCCAACATGACTGCATGGAGCGCCGTTACCTTTCTGCCGGAGCGGTACCTATTGATCTACACACATTTGCATGTTTTTGAACTGCTAGGTTGGCAGAAGCTGGGGCTGACAGCAGAAGCTTATGCTGCTCCCCAGATTCAAACCTGCAACCTTTTGGTCAACAAGTTTAGTAGCTCAGTGGTTTAACCTACTGTGCCACCGGGGGCTCCAGTACATGTTAGCAGTCTTCAAAAAGTTCAGCTTTTTGCAGCTCAGAGCCCCTCCACACAGCTGAATAAAATCCCACATTTTAATGCTTTCAGCTGGAATATATGGCAGTGTGGATTCAGATAACCCAGTTCAAAGCAGATATTGTGGGGTTTTCTTCCTTGATATTCTGGGGACCCTTCCACACAGCCCATTATCCCAGAATATCAAGGCAAAAAAATCCCACAATATCTGCTTTGAACTGGAATATATGGCAGTGTGGATTCAGATAACCCAGTTCAAAGCAGATATTGTGGGTTTTTCTTCCTTGATATTCTGGGGACCCTTCCAAACAGCCCTCTATCTCAGAATATCAAGGCAAAAAAATCCCACAATATCTGTTTTGAACTGGAATATATGGCAGTGTGGATTCAGAAAACCCAGTTCAAAGCACATATTGTGGCCGGCATTACTGCATGGAGCAGCACCGCGCAGCCTACTCGCGCGTAAAGCAGCTCACGATGTGCTTTACGTGCGAGTAGACCGCGCGGAGCAGCTGCCCTTGGCTGGCTCACGCTGCGCATTGGCCCTGATGGGCATTGTGAGCCTGCCAAGGGAGGAGCAGCACTGCACAGCCTACTTGCGCGTAAAGCACCTTGCGAGGTGRTTTACGCGCGAGTAGGCTGCGCGGAGCAGCTACCCTTGGCTGGCTCATGCTGCGCTTCGGGCCTGACAGATAGCGTGAGCCAGCCAATGGAGGGGCACTGTGTGGGGGGGGGGGGTGCTCCTCCCCCGCGGGCTGGATAAGTGCCCTTGGCGGGCTGGAAGTGGCCCCCGGGCCATAGTTTGGGGACCCCTGGTCTAACACATTCTGAATATAAACTTGCCTTCAGCATGGGGACCAACTGTTCCAATGAGTATTTGGCCTTTTATTGCCACAACTATCCAGGATGGCCACCCCCTAAAAAATGCTCTCATCAGACATATTCCAGACACCCTTCTGTGTACCAAGAGACCTTTGCTCTTCTTTTTCCAGCCTTTGGTGCCCCACCATTTTTAAATTTGCAGCAAACAGCAGTGGGGCAAAGGATAAGCCTAACTGGGGATAATGCAAGCAAATAACATTTAATCTTGGTGCCATTCCCCTTCCAAATGCTTTATGCATTCTTTTGGCTGCTCCTTTGGAAACATTTTACTTTTCTTTCCAGGAGGACAAAGTCAGGAAGTTCTGAATGAGTGCCGCTACGCCTTCCAGACCTCGGCCACCGGGGCTTTTTGTTGCTTTATATGCCTTACGCCTCCATTTATATTCTATTTTCATGGTTTTTCTGAATCAGATGGGTGGGAGGAATGATATCAGCAGCCCATTTTTTCTTGTCAGGAACATAATTTCTGGCCATCTCTTTTGGTTGCCTGAGCGACCCTGTAAAATATTTAGGGGCGGAAAGACTGGGCCGAAGGGCAAGGAGCCAGGAATGTTTCTTTCGTTCTTTGCAGCCATGGCTTTCTCAGGCCTTAATGATAAATATCCCTTGGCCCCGCTCTCCCCAGATGGGAAGGGCTTACTCATTCGCCTTGCTTTCCTTTCTCTTTCCAAGCGCAATGGCATGTTCTTGTGCATTTATCTCCTTGGGGATGCCCTCAGGTAAAAGGCTTCCATTCCAAAGACATTCAGGAAGAAAGAAGGAAGTATTCCTTGAGGCTGGGCAATGAATCTTCCTTCTTTCTTGGAGTGCACCTCCCAGTATCCCCTTCCCAGCCAACCCAACAAACTCCCTGGTCACCTTGCTCTGATTCTGTAATTCTGATGCCAATCCAGGCTTCTCTTTAAAGTCCCTGAAAGGCCAGGAAAGAAGACAGAGCAGCATTATTCAATGGGAAAGGTCAAAGGCGATCTGAAACCTCCTCCATTGCACTGAGCTTTTTGCTCCCGTCTGCTTTCTGTAACTAAGAGGTGTCTTTTGGCCTGAAAGGAGGGTGGTTGGGGCCAAAAGGGCTTGGATCACCTTCCAGCCTTCATTTGTTTGGAGGAAGGGAGAGGCTTTCCCCTGTTTCCAGTCAACTGGCTCAGCAGCTGCTCAGAAGCAACCAAAAAAGCAGAGAAATTGGAGACTGCAGGAGCAGACCTTCCATGATTTAACCCAGTCCGTTCAACCTGAGATTTTCAAAATGTACATTTATTGGTTTGTGTGGTTTCCATGTGTTTGGTTGATGCCTTTTAGTAGATGGATTGAAATAGTCTAATTTTAGCTATGTTGTACTCCCCTCAAGCCGGGAACTAATAATAGCAACAACAACAACAAGGAGCCCCTGGTGGCGCAATGGGTTAAACCAGTGGTTCTCAACCTGTGGGTCCCCAGATGTTTTGGCCTTCAACTCCCAGAAATCCTAACAGCTGGTATATTGGCAGAGATTTCTGGGAGTTGTAGGCCAAAACACCTGGGGACCCACAGGTTGAGAACTACTGGGTTAAACCCTCGTGCCAGCAGGACTGCTGACCAAAAGATCAGCGGTTTGAATCGGGAGCAGGGGGAGTGTCTGTCTGTCAGCTCCAGCTTCTCATGCGGGGACATGAGAGAAGCCTCCCACAGGATGGTAAAACATACCCCGGGCAACGTTGCCACAATTATCTCAAACCAAAAGTGACTTGCAGTTTCTTAAGTCGCTCCTGACATGAAAAAAAACAACAACAACGATGATGTATTAATTAATCTATATAAATAAAAATGCAATGTTCGTTTGTGATACCATCAGAACTCAAAAACCACTGGGGGAATTGGCACCAAATGTGGACACTAGACACTGTCTCAAGCAAGCTATGTCCTCCACTCACAAAAACCCAAAAGAACACTTCCTCTCCCTCCCCCCTCAGAAAGACGTCCAACCATAAGCCTAAGGGAGGGAGGGGGGAGGGAAGGAGTGCACGTGCATGGCCAGCAGCGAGTGCGCATGCACAGCAGGCTCCCACGGAGGCTCTCTGTTCAGGAGGCTCTCTGTTCAGGAAAAGCCCTCATCCCCACAGGCCTGCCTCATGCTGCCTAGGCTGCTCTGCCTCTCCAAAGTTGATCTATCCAGACCCAACTAATCTACCGCCGATGGGATGGATTCGGGAGAAAGGAAACTCTGCGGAAGCAAAAGCAATCAAGCTCAGAGCAGATCCATTGATAACCCAGGCTCAGAATACAGAAACCCCAATCCTATTCATGTCAGGCAGGAAGAACCCATTCAAGCCCTCCCAACAGATGGCCATCCAATTCCAACCCCATTCTGCCAGGCAGGAAGACACCATTCATTCTACAAATATAGCATCCCAAGCATATAGGATCAAATAGCATAATAATAATAATCCAAAATAATAAATATATCAACTATAATAGGCTTTAAGTCAATGATATGACACATAAAAATCTATCCCAAAGAACTACAAAAAAATTGAACTGGCCCAACAAAACCATCCAGCTATGTTATAATTGACAATATGTATCTATAAATTTATATAACCCTTTCAAAATATTTTTGATAACATGTTAATTATAAAATACTTATTTAATTTTAAAATATTTAATTATTTACATTTTAAAATATTTAACTTTTGAATACTTCATTTAGATATTTTAAGTTTAAAATATTTGTTTAATTTAAACATATTTTAATATTTTCATTATAAAATATTTAATTCTTTATTTCTAAAGTATTTCATTTACATATTTTAATTTTAAAAATTGTTATTTACATTACATTATTTTATTTTAATATTTCAAATTTAAAATATAAAATTGTTTCATTTTAATATTATTCCTTTAATTTTAATATTACAATTTATACATATTTAATATTTGCATTTCATAATACTTTATTTTAATGTATTTTATTTGGTTTAATTATTTAATTTTAAATTATTAAATTTTAATGTTTTAATTTTAAAATATTTAATTGTTTACCTTTACAAAATTTAAATCTAAAAATACTTAATTAACTTTAAAATATTTTACTGTTAGTATTTTAATTTAAAAAGTATTTAGTTGTTTACTTTTCAAATATTTTCCATATCACCAAGCTAGGCCACAGCAACGAGTGGCTAGGAGGGAGGCCGGGGAGGGAGGGGGATCGCCGGGGAAGGAAGGAGCCCTTTGATCGCACGGAAGGACGGGCGCGGGAAACCCTTTGAGGGATAGGAAGGGGCCCCAAAGGCCATCCAGTCCAACCTCATTTTACAGTAAAGGAAGACACCATCAAAGCCCTCCCGACAGATGGTCAACCAGTTGGAAGGGAGTCCCAGAGGCCATCCAGTCCAACCCCCTTTGTCTGTCTGTATGTCCATCCATCCTTCAATCCATCAGTCACTCCATCTACATATCTATCTACCTACTACCTACCAACCTATCTATGTTCTATCCATCTACCTTCTGTTCCATCTATCAATGTCCCTTCCATCTGTCCCTTTTGTCTATTGCTTCAACTGGAATTCCTCTCTTATCTGAGGGCAACAGCAACGCGTGGCAGGGTACAGCTAGTTAAAATATATATTTCATCATCATCATCATCATCATTATCATTGTATTCTTATAGCCCATCACCATCTCCCCAAAGGGATTCAGGACAGCTTACAAATGGCACAAAGTGCCTTATAAAATAAAATGCATATGCATATAAGAACATCAACTCAGACTCAATAAAACGGAAACTTTAAACTTTCTCTGTATGTATACATACATGTATGTATGCATATACGGTGTATATATAAAGTATTTTAATTAGGCTGTACTTCCCTCGAACCATGAAAAGAGGCAGATAACTAATAATAAAAACAACAGCAAGAACAACAATTAATTTTAACTGAAGTATATATTTAAACTAGATATATATGTGTATATTAATTAATTCAATAAGCTGTTCTTCCCTCAAACCATGAGAAGAGGCAGGTAATTAATAATATAAATTCTAAGAGTAATAGGTATTGTAACTAAAACATTCAAACTATTGATGTATGTATTTTAGTGTGTTATAACCTGCCTCAAACTATGAGGAAAGGTGGTAATGATGATTCTGTTGTTGTTGTTATGCAGTCAGGATTGAGGCTCTTCCCCCCCCCCCCGGCTTGGGAAGTTCTGCTTCCATTAAGCGTTTGGCTCAAGTCTTTTGCAGATCTGAGCAGTCTTTGCAGCAATGCAGAACAGGATTTTTAAGACAATAACCATGCTTTCACATTGGATCCTGTTTTAATCCAAAACTTATCTATTGATTGGCAAATTCTGGCAGTTACACTTGCATTATATGAAAGTGAAGCCATTTGCATCGGTACAGCAGCTGAGCATTTTTAAGTCTCTGTGGAGAGGCTCTCTTCATTGTAAAGTCAGATAAGAATTCTTTAAATGTGAATGCCTTGCAAAGCCACYGGAGTTGCTGACATTCCAGTCCTGGTTGGACAGAGTCTTAGGCCATTTCCCTCCTCCTCCTCCTCCTCCTCCTCCTCCTCTTTAATTGCAGCATTAAAAAAACAATAACAGTTGGTCCCTATCTCTCGTCAGGCRCCCCCCCCCCCCCCGCCCCCAAAACTTGTTCATGCGTTTTTGGCTGGTTCTGTCCAAACAGAAACCTTTCCAGAAGGCCTCCTTTTCACCTCTGTGACTCATCAAAACACAGATAAACCACATACTTTGGCTTTTGTCAGCGGTGGAGGGGGAGGTTCCCAGCAGAGAAACCGGCACAGTCTCAGAGGCTGGAACACAGGAATCCTCCACATAAAGGATCCTTCCCTGCCACTTTTTTATGATCACTTGAAGCTCTTCCAGGGCTTGCCTCTCTGTGTTTGTTTATACGCGCACCTTTCTTCAATCATGGAATTTTTCAAGGCTCCCTGATAAAACGTCTTCCTCTTGTTACCCTTAAATATGTCTTCTATTATTATCATTGCAAAAAAAAAGAATCCAGAGTCAAACAGAGTTTGAAGGGATCTCCGAAGACCATCTAATCAAGCCCTATTCTCTGTCTGGTGCATAGGAGCAGCCCAGTATATCATAGAAATGTAGTTTAATATAATTTTTTAAATCCTGTATGTTTTGATGAGATGAACTGGTCGGATGATGATGATAATAATAGTATTTTCTTTGCTACCTGCCTCTCCTTATGCCATGAGGCAGGGCACAACACAGTTAAAGCACGCCATCATAAAATACATTCAATAAAATGCATGTATTAAAACACATTCCCTAAAGTAACACATATTAAAATATTTGGATTAAACATTAAAATACAAAGAGCATAGACTGTTAATTTAAAATTAATGGCTGCAAGTCAGTCCATCAATAAATGCAGCTGGAAGGGAAAGGGTTTGCCAGCATCCCAGGTCTCTCCTCTGGCTTCATTTCTCTTCTGTTATTGTTGTTGTCCAGTCAATGAATACAATCTAGGGTTTGCCAGCATCCCACATTTCGCCTCCGACTCCCTTTCTCTTGTGTAGTCATTACCATCATCATCTTGATTTCTCCTCTTGTCCAGATTGAGCGGCGCCTGGACATGGTGCGCTCTGTGTGCCACAATTCCCACAAACGGCTGGTGATGTGTTTGCAGGGACAGTATGGAACAGACGCTGAGAAGAAGCATGTGAGTCCCCTTTCATCTCTTCCTTTCTTACTTTGGGGCACTTCCCCTTGGGTCAGTGTTTCCCTCTGCTAGGGTGACTGCCCTGCTCTCCTTGGCTCAATTCCCCCCAGAAGCCACTTTTGGGAAATCCTGCATCCCTTCCCTTAGACCCCACTGGAACCAAGGGATGTGTATCACCAAGCTCTGATTCCGTCTAATCTGTGTTTCCTTCTGCAGAAAAAGCTTCCGCTCACAGCTTTTGCCCAGAACATGCAAGAAGGTGCTCTGCAGCTCAGCGATGAAACATTACTTGGGTAAGATTGTGCATCCCTCATCTGCCCAAAATCTATTTCAAGGCCACATAGAAGCGGCTCTGCAAAATGCAGATGCTTGTCATCCCAATTTGGCACTGCATCTCTATGGGTTGTTGTTATTTGTATCCACTTTGTCTCTAAAAAAGAAACCAATACAGTTGAAAACCTACAAATATACAAATGGAATTGAACATTAATAGTATTAAAAATCAACAGTTAAAACTCTTAAGACCAATATTATTATCATTATTTTTATTTGTATCTTTCTTGATCTCTCTAAAAAAGAGACCCAAAGAAGCTCACAGTATAAAAACCAATGCAATACAATTTGAAACCTAAAATATGTAAACATTAAAATGGAACTGAACATGTATTAAGGGTGAAAATCCTTAAAATAAATGTTACGATCATTATTTTTATTTGGATCTCACTTTATCTCTCTAAAAAAGAGACTTAAAGCAGCTCACAATAAAACCAATCTGATACAATTTAACACCTAAAAATATACAAACTTTAAAACATGGCTTCCTCCTTCATGGCAGCACCATAATTTTGTGTTGCAAGAAAGGGGAAAACAGCAGCAGCTTTAAAGAATTTTGTAATGGTTGATCTTGCTACATATTGTTCTCTGTAAGTTGTGACATTTCTTTATCAGAAGCATATCTAGCTGAAGTAAGCCTGCAATTCAAATGTATCAACCCATCCTCCTCCTCTCTTCAATCTGCAGTCTTCCAGGTGTTTTGGACTCCAGCTCCCAGAATCCCTGTCCATTGAAAAAGCTGGCAATAGGGGCTTCTGGGAATTGGAGGGCAACAGGTTGAAGACGCCTGGCCTAGTGTTTTGGAGGATCAGAGATTCTTGTCAGAGAGAGTAAGCAATATCTTTCGTTTGTAGATCGTATTGTGGCACTACCTCAGTTAGTCCATTCTCAAGGGGCATGATGCATTTTGGGCTCCCTAGGCTTAGCCTAATAAAGGTCTCACTGCAGCATGGAGCACAATATGCCCAAAGAGCTGCCTTTGCCAATGTTTTTTTTTTTTCCTTTTCAAAGAAAAATGCTGGAGACCTGTGGAGAGGCAGAGAACAAGTTGTCCATGGAGCTCTCGCACCATGAGGTTCAGGTGGAGAAAGACGTCCTGGAGCCCCTGAATCAGCTGACAGAGGTGAGTTGAATTGGGGCCTCGGGGGGAGGGGGGACCCCCAATGTGGCCTTCCTTCCACATGAGAGCCTTTTCAAATGCCAGCTTCCTGTGCTCTCTGCTTTTCAGATAGAAATCCCCAACATTCAGAAGCAGAGGAAGCAGCTGGCCAAGATGGTGCTGGACTGGGACTCTGCCAGAGCCAGGTAAAGCCCAAACCTCAGGGCTGCTTCCTCCTTGCTTTATGTGTGTGTGTAGAAAGAGAGGCCACATTTTCCCAGGTTGAGTTTCAAGGCAGAAAGTGCAGCAGATAATAAATACACTGAAAATTCACAAAATGCAAAAGTCAGAACTCTAAAACTGGTGGAAACATAGACAATTAGAAAATATCTGTGAAATGGTTGGAAGCCAAGCATCATGCTGGTGCAGATTCATGCCTCCCAAGGAAGAAAAGCAAGGTATAAGTAAAATTAATAATAACAACAATAGCTACTTTCTCAGCTTGGGAGGCATGGATTTGCACCAGCAGTATTGTTGAATTCTAACCATTTAATTACTATTATTATTGTTGTTGTTGTTGTTGCTATCATTTTTACAGATAACCATGTCTCTCTCCAACCTCATCTCTCATCCATTTTATTTGTTGTCTGTATAAGACAAGTGGCTGGAGAGAGTGAGGGACTGAGGATATCAGGGTCCTGACTCCTGTATTTGAAAAACACACAATGTGTGTTATACAGCAGTTCTCTGCCAGCAAACAAACAGGAGTGCCCCCATGATTGCCTCAAAGGCAGAAGCGAGCAACTGAAGCCAAAGGTTTTGGATTTGGGGTTTTCCGATTAGCGGTGCTCAATCTATCCTGTTTAGGATTTTTATTTCCTTTTTAATGGTGGCCTATGAATCCAGAGTCATAGCAATCCACAAAGGGTGGAGTCATTTTGTTCCCTCTTTCTTTCTTTCTTTCTTTCTTTCTTTCTTTCTTTCTTTCTTTCTTTCTTTCTTTCTTTCTTTCAGGTGGAACCAGGCCCACAAAACCTCTGCCACCAACTTCCAGGGCCTTCCGTCAAAGATTGACTCCTTGAAGGAGGAGATGGATGAAGCGGGAAACAAAGTGGAGCAGTGCAAGGTGTGTGCATCCGGCTACCTCTTGCAACTGTGATCTGTGATCATGATATTTGGGTGGTTAAACTAAGTAAGAAGATCATCATCTGTAGAGTAGACACTTGATTATATCAGTTGATTTAATGTCGGGCTCAACACTGTGCAGCAATGATGGGATTGTGATATTTTGACACAAGCTGCACATGCCTTGTCTCCAGGCCTTGTTGCACTTTGCCCCTATGGCACATAAAGAAGCAGTTTGGTCCAACTCAGTCTACTGGGACTTCTTGCCTTCTGTTTGAGAGTTTGAATGCATTATCCTCTCATCAATTCTCATCTTCTCCTCCCCTCCACATTCCTCACAGGACCAGCTTGCTGCTGACATGTACAACTTCATCTCCAAAGAGGGCGACTATGCCAGATTCTTCGTAGCGGTGAGTCTTCTCGCTCCCTTTGGTCATTCGTTCCATGTGCTTCGGCCTTGTTGTGGTCTCCATCCCGTGCCTAACGTCTTGTTCTCCAATGTGGGTTCTGTCCTCAGTTCTTAGAAGCCCAAGCAGATTACCATAGAAAAGCCTTAGCAGTCTTAGACAAGGTGCTCCCTGAAATCCAGGCCCAGCAAGGTAAAGTACCCCTCCGCTCTGCCTCCCGCTTTGACTGCCTTCTGCTTTGACTGCCTTTCCATACCTCCTTTGGCATGCCTTCCTTCTGGAATAAGGGCCTTCTTCCTTCAGGACCCTGCTTCCAAATTATATATGTCAGCTGCATCTCTGACATCCTTCTAACTGTCCCATTAACACACTAACAACAAGCGGGAGATTTGTTCTGAGGAAACGGCACTTCTCACACAATGGACAGGGCAGGCCAGCGTGACCCCTTCTCCTCTGCCACTTACAGCAGGCATGGACAAACTTCAGCCCTCCAGGTGTTGTGGACTTCAACTCCCACAATTCCTAACAGCCAGTAGGCTGTTAGGAATTGTGGGAGTTGAAGTCCAAAACACTTGGAGGGCCGAAGTTTTCCTATGTCTGACTTATAGGCATCACCATCTATTTCCTGAGCAGCCATTCTTAGGAATAGCAGGAGGTGCCTTATTGCCCAACTCTAGCGGCTGTTGTTATAGTATTTTTTTTCTCCCGCCCTTTCTCCCATTTTGGGATACAAAACAGCTGATGACAGTCAGGATAAAACAGTTAAAAAAAAAAAACCCGCAGCGTACAAAGCAACCAAAGCCTGAAATTGTTTTCCAGTTTTAAACATAGATATTGGAAACAGCCACAACAGTGAACAAGAGGCCAGCAAGTTATACAAAGCCTGTTTTCCACTACAAACCACTTCAGGGACCTCCAAAAATAAGGTAGGTTGGTTTGCCCTAGATCAGCAAGGATTTTCTGGTCACAGCAGAAGAATTATTCTCCACTCGACCCTTGCAATTTTGATGAGTGAAATGAAGGGAAGTTGATTCTGTGTTTGGAAGGAAGACTAAATATGAATTCGGTTTGGGTGCCTGGAATAAATTCCCAGGCCCAGATTTCCAGGCATATTTGATGCCTTTCAGCCTTTCAATGTAGGTATCATTCTGTAAGAGAACCAGGAAGCATTTGCTGGCGAAATGCAGTCCACTTCAACCATTCCAACACATAGCCCTCCTCCATTATGATCGTTGCAGGTGGGGCGCCTCTGTATGTGCCGGCTCTGGATCACTACACTTGTCATTAAGTTCAGGTGCAAGTCTGAAACAACTCCAGCCATATAATAAAATATAGTTAACAAATTACCCACCCGGCCCTCCTTTGTAAGTACTGTTGGCCATCATTCCCTCTGCAAGCTATGGGAAAGAGAACATGGGTTGCTGTGAATTTTCCAAGCTTTATGGCCATGTTGCAGAAGCATTCTCTCCTGATGTTTGACAGGCATCCTCAGAGGTTGAGGGGTGTGTTGGAAGCTAGGCAATATGAGGTTTATATATCTGTGGAATGTCACAACACAAGGAGAACATGGTTTCTGCTTTGGTTGGTCTCTCTGCCCCCATTTAAATGCTGCATGAGGCCTAGACCTGAGGCTGGAAGGGGAACACGCTTTCGGCCCTTGCCTTGCAACACTTCCAGATTTCTTGTCTTCTGCTTCTTCCTGCATAAAACTAACCCTCTTCCACAGTTGACAACTAATCGCCTGTCCTCCGCTCTGTCTTCTCAAGTGGAGCAGCAAATACTGTATTTCCTTGCTTCCAAGATGCACCTTTTTTTCCTCCTATATAAACATCTCTAAAAACGGGATGCATTTGGAATCGCAGGGGCATCTTAGGTGTTTTTGTTGGTGGTGGTCCTGAAATTGGGGTGCGCCTTACAATCGCTGACGTCTTTGAAGTGATGAAATATGGTAATACTAATGTTTATATGATGTTGAATATACTTGGTTGATTGCAGAGAGGAAAGCAGTGTCTGTTTTAAGGGGGTTTATTGACAAAGGGGAATCTGAGTTGATCCGGAATGATAGCAGCCTCTCAAAAGGGAACGTCTTGGAGAGGAAAATGGCCAGCCTTCTCAATATTTAATATGACAGAATGGTAGTTTTGTGCTGTGTGTGCTGGAGAAGGTGCCCATTTCTCTGCCTCCCTTTTGTAGCCAATTTAGGGTTCCATTTGAGTACAACCTGAAGAACAGTACCCAGTCCTTAGGGGTTTTTTTTCCATGTCAGGAGCGACTTGAGAAACTTCAAGTCACTTGTGGAATGAGAAAATTGGTAGTCTGCAAGGACGTTGCCCAGGGGATGCCCGGATGTTTTTCCATCTTGTGGGAGGCTTCTCTCATGTCCCTACAAGGAGAAGCTGGAGCTGACAGATGGGATCTCACCCCACTCTCAAAGGCCTTTGTGCCTTTGAGCAGACGCTTGAGAGGTCAAGGAAGATTCAGACCGCTGACATTTTGGTCTGCAATCATTGCACCATCAGGGGCCCAGTCCTCATTGCCTAGAATGGACTGGGAGGAAGGGGGAGGACTGGGAATGAGTGTGTTTGGGATATTTTAGTTCCTACATAACCTGATTTTGAAAGTTTCAAAGAACTAGGCAACCTGTACAGGAAAAGCCACATCAACTCTCACTCCACATTTAAAGAAGAAGGGGATAAATATTATTTAAAAAAAAATACCACGAGATTCAGTTGTACCCATTGAACTAGATCTTGGGTCTCTTTGCATCATTCATCTATGTACAGAGGAGTTGGTTACTTCTGGTCGGTCAAAGGAATTTGTGTTTGAGGAGCACAAAGATGGCCGCTTCCTTAATTGGCGGTTGATCTGTTGCTTACAGTTTTTCAGCTGTTACTCAGAATGGGATTCTACCATCCAGATGGGTTTTTGTGGGAATTGGGGCCCCTAGAAAAGGCATCAGGAATCCACTCTTTATGCAAAAGGATTCACATTTGAGGCCTTCCTCTCAGCTGTCTGTGGCTGCTCCTGCAGGATGGGCGACAGCATTCTGGCTCCTCACCTGGGATAAAACCTTGCGGTCCACATATCCTGCTGTGGCCCCAATGATCTTCTAAACCCACCTGCTTCCCCTTCTAATTCCTGGCTCTTGCTGCCTTTCTAACTAGACAAATGGACAGAGAAGCCGGCCTTCGGGACTCCCCTGGAAGAGCACCTCAAGCGCAGCGGACGGGAAATCGCCCTCCCCATTGAAGCATGCGTCATGATGCTCTTGGAGACTGGCATGAAGGAGGAGGTAGGGTCTCCTTCCCTTTCCTTATCTTTCTTTTTGAGGGAATCCTGGGGACTGGACGGGGCCTAAGTACTAAGATGGCATGACTACAGTCACAGCAGCTATTTGCTTTTCTGAAGAGGCAGCTTAGCCTTCATATGGCACACTCTGCTCAGTAGCACATGAAGATAGGTTTGTCCAAAATGTGCAGAGGGTTTCTATCCCAATGACTGTGATGTCTGCTCCATTTAGCTTACTTTGGGTTGCCCCAAGGCCAAGCCACAGGGCTGGCATTGGCCAGAGCAGGATCCAGAGTCATAGAATCATAGAATCCTAGAGTTGGAAGGGACCCCAAGGGTCATCCAGTCCAAATGCTTCTGCCAGGTAGGAAGACACAATCAAACCATCCTGTCAGATGGCCACCCAGTCTATGCTTAATAATAATAATAATAATAATAATAATAATAATAGCATCATATAGTCCAAGACAATTGGGAAGTGTCCGAAGTGTGATCCAGTACTCCATTACTCATTACTCTAATAAGAACATCTATATTAGTGACCGGAGAAGATCTTAAGAACTAATAGTGCTACTGTTGACGAGTACTTTAGCCCCGACCTGTTAGCACTTTAATTGTAGTTTTATTACCATTATTATCATCTCTGTGGTAACTGAACTAACAACCTGTGAGTTTCAGCACTTTAATCTGTTTTAACGCACCATTTAGCATCGAATTCGGGGCCCTCCATGACGCACTTTATTCCAGCACTTTAGAGTGGATTGAGGAAACAATTGCACTTCAATTACTTACTCCTTCTTGTATGACCCATTCGTATTAAAAACTTTAGGAATACTCACCCGATAGGCCCTAATACCTACCATCCATGTCATCACCCTTCCCCCGGTACTTGTTAACCTTGCTGTTGATTGTTTACGCTGGAGAGAGGGAACGGAGTAGGCTAACGGGATTTGAGCATTGTAAAGCGGGAGTAGGAAACGGATGGAAGACAGGTTTATGGCACTCTGTAACCACAATATGTCAAACAGCTAATAATGCATTGTTTGTTGACACACTGGCTGCTCACTGCGTCATGGAGGAGGGAGGGGGTTCCGTTAACCGGGGAGCCCCCATAGAAGTCGTGGTGGGGAGGGGGAGATACAGGAAAGGGAGACCTCTAATTCGACCTAGGGAATGGGGAACAACTTTAGTAATCCCAAATCGGTCTCCTGATATGATAAGTCGGTGTAACCAGGATGGCGGTCCTTCCGGATTGAAAGTGGTGCTGTTGAACGCCAGATCTGTCAACGGTAAAACAACTTTCATCCAGGATTTAATCCTGGATGAACGGGCAGATCTGGCGTGCATCACAGAGACCTGGTTGGACGAAGCGGGAGGTGTAAATTTAACCCAGCTTTGCCCACCAGGTTTCTCTGTGCAGCACCAACCGAGATCCGGAGGGCGGGGAGGCGGGGTTGCAGTGGTCTATAGAGATACCATTCTTCTGACCAGGGCCCCCATCCCGCAGTCAACAAAATTTGAATGCGTCCACCTGAGGGTGGGAGACCGGGACAGATTAGGGATTCTGTTAGTGTACCGTCCACCTCGCTGCACTACAGACTCCCTGACTGAGCTAGCGGGGGTGGTCTCGGACCTGGTGTTGGAGTCCCAACGGCTGCTTGTGCTGGGGGACTTCAATGTCCATGCCGAGGCCGCCTTATCGGGAGCGGCTCAGGACTTCATGTCTGCCATGGCAACCATGGGGCTGTCCCAACAGGTATCTGGCCCCACCCACAGTGCTGGACATACATTGGACTTGGTTTTCTGCCAGGGATGGGAGGAAGGTGGCGGTGTTGAGGAGTTATCCATCTCTCCGTTGCCATGGACCGACCACCACCTGGTCAGCTTTAGACTCACTGCACCCCCTAACCTCGCAGAGGTGGAGGACCCATTAAATTGGTCCGCCCCAGGAGGCTTATGGATCCGGATGGATTCTTGGGGAATTTCGCGCCACCGCGGTTGGTGATCCTGTTGATGCCCTGGTCGCTCTCTGGAATGGGGAGATGACCAGGGCAATAGACACGATCGCTCCAGAACGTCCCCTCTCAAGTAGCCGAGCTAAACCAGCTCCTTGGTTTACTGAGGAGCTGGCGGCGTTGAAGCGAAAGAAGAGGGAACTAGAGAGCGTGTGGCGTTCGGATCCGAGCGAGCCAAACCGAACACAGTTTGTGTCCTTTTTAAGGGCATATGCCGCGGCAATAAAGGCCGCAAAGAAAATTTTCTTCGCGGCCACTATTGCGTCTGCGAAGAACCGTCCGGCTGAACTGTTCCGAGTTGTCAGAGGCTTATTAAAACCCACCACTCAGGATGGGTGCCCTGATGACTCGGCGGCTCGCTGCGAAGCTTTTGCTCGGTTCTTCGCAGACAAAGTCGCTTTGATCCGCTCTGGACTGGATACCATATTAACGGCAGTATCTGAGGATGTAACCCGAGCACCTGCTTGTCCGATTTTGATGGATTCATTTCAATTGGTTCAATCCGAGGATGTGGACAAGGTGCTTGGAGGAATGAGAGCTACCACATGCATCCTAGACCCCTGCCCATCCTGGCTTCTAAAGGAGGCCAGAGGGGGTTTGGCCGAGTGGGTGAAGGTGGTGGTGAATGCCTCCCTTCGGGAAGGCAAAATTCCAGCCAGCTTAAAGCAAGCTGTAATAAAACCGCTGTTGAAGAAGCCATCACTGGACCCCACTCAATTCGTCAACTATCGGCCTGTTTCCAATCTCCCCTTTTTGGGCAAAGTCATGGAACGTGTGGTGGCCTCACAACTCCAGGCATTCTTGGTAGACACGGATTATCTAGACCGGCACAGTCTGGCTTTAGGCCGGGACATGGTACCGAGACAGCCTTGGTCGCTTTAGTGGATGATCTGCGCCGGGAGCTCGACAGGGGGAGTGTGTCCCTGTTGGTGCTGCTCGACCTCTCAGCGGCCTTCGATACCGTCGACCACGGTATCCTTCTGGGACGCCTCGCGGGGATGGGACTTGGAGGTACTGTTTTGCAGTGGCTCCGCTCATTCCTCGAGGGTCGGTCTCAGATGGTGTTATTGGGAGACTCCTGTTCAACCCCACAACCTTTGTCTTGTGGGGTTCCTCAGGGTTCAATACTGTCCCCCATGTTGTTTAACATCTACATGAAGCCGCTGGGCGAGATCATCCGGAGTTTCGGAGTGAGATGTCATTTGTACGCAGATGATGTCCAGCTCTGTCACTCCTTTCCACCTGCTACTAAGGAGGCTGTCGAGGTCCTGAACCGGTGCTTGGCCGCTGTGACGGTCTGGATGGGGGCGAACAAATTGAAATTGAATCCAGACAAGACAGAGGTACTCCTGGTTAGTCGCAAGGCCGAACAGGGTATAGGGTTACAGCCTGTGTTAGACGGGGTCGCACTCCCCCTGAAGACGCAGGTTCGCAGTTTGGGTGTGATCCTGGACTCATCGCTGAGCCTGGAACCCCAGGTTTCGGCGGTGACCAGGGGAGCATTCGCACAGTTAAAACTTGTGCGCCAACTGCGACCGTACCTTGGGAAGTCTGACTTAGCCACGGTAGTCCACGCTCTGGTTACATCCCGCCTTGATTACTGCAACGCTCTCTACGTGGGGTTGCCTTTGAAGACAGTCCGGAAGCTCCAGTTAGTCCAACGGGCAGCAGCCATGATTCTAACAGGAGCGGGGCGCAGGGAGCATACAACTCCCTTGCTGAACCAGCTCCACTGGCTGCCGATATGCTACCGGGCTCAATTCAAAGTGCTGGCGTTGGCCTTTAAAGCCCTAAACGGTTCTGGCCCAACTTATCTATCCGAACGTATCTCAGCCTATCAGCCCACCAGGACCCTAAGATCTTCTGGAGAGTCCCTTCTCTCTATCCCTCCAGCTTCAGAAGTGCGGCTGGCGGGAACGAGAGATAGGGCCTTCTCTGTGGTGGCCCCCCGGCTTTGGAACACCCTCCCTATAGAGGTACGATCAGCCTCTTCGCTGATGGTGTTTAGGAAGAGACTCAAAACATGGCTGTTCAAACAAGCATTCGGCTAATCTGTGGCAATTCGAATATTGATGACTAAGGACAGGAAACATGGACAACGAATTCTGGATTGCGATTTCAACTCGAGATACATGGGATTATTATTGGTGGCCCAATAATTTGTTATTGAATTTGTTATTATATGTGTATATGTTTTTAAATTGTAGATTGTTTTAACTGCTGTAAACCGCAATGAGTCGCCGTTCTAGGCTGAGATATTAGCGGTATACAAGTGTATCAAATAAATAAATAAATAAATAAGTGTATCAGTACAACAACCAGCATAGTGATCTTGTTTACTGTGAACTAATCTTGTTACGTTTCAAATAACAATAATACTATAGAATATATACTTGAAAGAGACCCTCAGGGTTATCCAACACCCTTCTGACAGTCAGGAAAAGCACAATCAAAGCCCTCCAGACATATAGCCATTCAGCTCCTATTTAGTATTATTATTATTATTATTATTATTATTATTAAGAATAATAATAATAGAGTAATAGAATCCTAGAGCTGGAAGGGACCTCTAAAAGTCATCCAGTCTAAACCCTCTTCTATTAGGCACACCATCAGAGCCTTCCTGACAGATGACCATCCAGTTTCTGCTTAATAATAATAACAACACCTTTCTGCCATACACCATCAAGCCACTCCTGACAGATGGCCATCCTGCCTCTGTTTAAAAGCCTCCAAAGAAGGAAGCTCCACCACAGCCAGGTGCCAACTTAGCAATTGGTGGTGACAGTTTCTTTTTTATTATTATTTTAATTCTGATCCCTCTAAAAAGCTGTGTTGTTCTTTCTCTTTCCCCCTCAGGGTTTGTTCCGCATTGCGGCCGGTGCTTCTAAGCTGAAGAAGCTGAAGGCGGCCTTGGACTGTTCCACGTCTCACCTGGATGAGTTCTACTCCGACCCTCATGCTGTGGCAGGTAGGGCTCACCTGCAGAGGTGGGGAGCTGCCCATGGAATGGAAGGCATGGCCTGAAGGCCAAGTGTTTCATTGAGACATTTATCTTTTGTTTTTGGGGGGGGGGGAGGTCTGCTTCCTCTGGGGCTGAGAGAGTGTGCCCTGCCCAGGATTACCCGCTAGGCTTCCATTCCTGCATGTGGAACCAGAGTAGTGGTGCTTGCTGGCCTGCAACAGAAGCAGATTAGCAAATGTTCTGTGGTTTGTTCTGTGGGAGGCCCCCAGCTCTGCAGAAATCCTGCCTTTGGCTCTCTGTCTGGTTCCCAGCAAACCACAGGCCTCTCTCATATTCTTGTTGAATGTACATCCCAATGAGGGTTTCCCCCCTTGAATTAAACCGTAATGTGAGTCATTCAGACATTCTTCCCAATGAAAGGAATCCAATATTTGCGGCATTCCTAAGAAGAACGGGTCTGCGGTTGCTGGAGCAGCTGCTTTTGGTTAACTAGGATTTATGGGCCACTCCAATTCCATAGTTTGATCTCTATAAAGACTGAATGATTGCGTTTATGGAATTAATATTTGAATGCAAGTCAAAGCCATATTTCTTCTGTGAGATTCTTAACATGGTTAGCTTTTTCCTCTTGTGTCGCTTTCCTCCACTGACACAGACCTATTCAGCCTTCTGTGTCTATTTTTCTTCTCTGAGGGGTTTTAAGCAGAGGCTGGGCGGCCATCCATCAAGAGGGCTTTGATGGTGCTTTTCCTATCCGACAGAATGGGATTGAACTGGATAACCTTTGGGTGTCCTTTCCAAAATTGGGACTCTATGATATTGTTTATTATTATTACCATTATTACAATCATTATTAAGCAGAGACTAGATGGCCATCTGTTAGGATGGCTTTGATGGTGCTTCTCCTGCCTAGCAGAAGGGGATTGGATGGGAAGGCCATTGGGATCTCTTTCCACTATATGATTCTAACCCAGGCATGGGCAAACTTTGACCCTCCAGGTGTTTTGGACTTCAACTCACATAATTCCTAACAGCCTATCGGCTGTTAGGAATTGTGGAAGTTGAAATCCAAAACACCTGGAGGGCAGAAGTTTGCCCATGCCTGTTTTAACCCCATACATTTCCCAGGGTTTTCTTAGAGAAGGTATTCTCAGAGGTGTTTTTGTCAGTCCCTTAGTCCATTTTATTGCTTAAAACTTGACTTTAGTGCCATCTAGTGTTCAGCCTGGATATTCCTCAACAAATCTTCTCTTTCCGCTTCCCTTGTTGCTCCAGGTGCCCTGAAGTCTTACCTGAGGGAGCTGCCGGAGCCACTCATGACCTACGCCTTGTACGAAGAATGGACGCAAGTGGCAAAGTAGGGGCGCTTTAGGGAAGGGGACGTTCTCATGGGGAAAGATATAGGGCCCTTATGAGCCTTAAGCCTCTCTGTTTCCTAGAAGTTCTGCTCACTTTCTTCTCTCAGATCTTTTTTCCTCAAATCCCTGTATTCCTTTGCTAGGTCTTGAGTTCTGCTGGTTGAGATTTCTTCTCATATCACAGATTGCATTGGGTATTTCCTTAGTATTGGGTGGGATGTTCCCTTAGTATTAAAGGCGTAATCTTGTGCCTGCCTTCCACTTTTGGCGCATAATGCTTGCAAACCCCAAACCTGGACTCTGAGGCCAGCAACTAAATGAAAAGCTGCCTCACATTTTCCTCCAGAGAATGTCTTTTTGTGTCTCCCCCTCCCCTCAGCATCCAGGACCAAGACAAGAAGCTGCAGGACCTTTGGAGGATTTGCCAGAAACTGCCAAAGCAAAACCTGGCCAATTTCAGGTGGGTGGCAAATCCTTCTGCATGAATTACCTTCATTGACCAGAGGTTTCTCACTGATCCCTTTCACCCCATTCTCATCCTAATACTGTACTTTAAATGTACTTTGCAGGTACTTAATCAAATTCCTGGCCAAACTGGCACAGTCCAGCGACCTCAACAAGATGACACCCAGCAACATCGCCATCGTCTTGGGACCAAACTTGTTGTGGGCCAAGACTGAAGGGTAAGCGTGAAGAGTTAATTTAGTTAATTGCACAACATGTTTTTTCTGTTTTTATCCCCATCATTGCAGGTATTTACTAGCCAGTTCCTCATTCCATTTGCCATTCATTCATTGATAGTTTCATTCCATTTTCAGGCTGACCTTTTGTAAGTTCGAACTGCACATGTATTTATTCCTAAGCCAAGCCTAAGTCCTAGTTTTGAGAGAAAAGGCTGGATGTAAATACAGTGAGCCTAAGGCACCAATCCACACCAGTATTTTTGCCCCATTTGTGCGCTCTGGGGAGGGAACCCATTGTTCTTTGTCCAGTTTCGCTCAGAATGTTAGAGAGATGTTTCAGAACCAGGTGAGGAAGGTCTAACACTGGGTAGCATCTTTGCTTCCTGAGACACACTTTGACTTTTTGGCTGCATTTCTTTCCTTTCTTCTTCCCTCAGCTCTCTGGCAGAAATGGCGGCAGCAACATCGGTGCACGTGGTGGCGGTTGTCGAGCCCATCATCCAGCATGCGGCCTGGTTCTTCCCTGAAGGTGAGTAAGCACCCTATCGACTCTCTCTTTTATGAAATGCTTAGGAACTATGGCTGGTCAGGACTGAAAGCACCCTGCTGTTGGCATTCTGATATTTTTGCTGCATTCTGAGAATTCAGATTAGATTTGAGATGGTGCTGATAGCCGCACGGGGCCATCAATCTCATGGCAACATCCATTTGTGGCTCTGCTGTTCCTTCAGCTGCCAAATTTGCAAGTTTGCTGATGGTTTAAGATGCCCTCTGAATGCTTTCCTGTGAAATCCCAGGCCCGTCCTGCATGGGTGCTTTCAATGTGCTAGAGAATGAATAGTGATTATGATGATCATCATCATCTTTAATTACGAGATGCTCCAGGCGATTTACATAGCAGAAATTATACAGGATAAAACACATACATACAAATATTAAAATTAACATGGGTCAAATGCTCTAGTAAAAAGCCAGGTCTTAAGTGCTAGGATAAAAGTGCTAGGATAAAATGCCCTAAGTCACGCATGGCTCTCAAATAGGGAGGCAAGGAATACCATAAGGCAGGGGCAGAAATAGAAATGATGATGATAATACCATAATAATAAAAAATACTGTATTTCTTCAATTCTAAGATGCCTTCCCCTATAAACACACACACACACACACACACACACACACATATGTATCTTTTATTTCCATTGATGATACTGAAAATAGGGTATGTCTTACAATTGATGGCATCTTAGAATCAAAGAAATATGGGAAGTAATAATAATGACAATAACTTATTAATTATTGTGAGTCCCTGTGCCAGTAGGACTGAAGACCAACAGGTCGCAGGTTCGAATCCAGGGAGAGCGCGGCTGAGCTCCCTCTATCAGCTCCAGCTCTCCATGCGGGGACATGAGAGAAACCTCACACAAGGGTTGTAAAACATCAAAACATCCGGGCATCCCCTGGACAATGTCCTTGCAGAGGGCCAATTCTCTCTCACCAGAAACAACTTGCAGTTTCTAAAGTCGCTCCTGACACGACCAAAAATTATTATTATTATTATTACTGTTGTTATTATTATTACATTTATTATCTATTGTTGTTGTTGTTGTTGTTGCCCATCTCCCAAGTCAGGGTACACCATGGTCAAAACCAACTACAAATACAACAATACTATTAAAATGGATATATATTAAAATCCACACAATACCAATAAAATGTGCATTAAAATTGACAGTTTAAAAGAGTCTGGGTAGGTTTGCCCTGATATTTCTGAGTATGGCTCACAAAGGTTATTTTGGAAATGTCGGTCATGACTTAAGAGATATATGTGTGTGTGCATTATTATGGGAGCTCCTGGTGGCGCAGCGGATAGGTACCGCTCCAGCGGGAAGGGTAACAGTGCTCCATGCAGTCCTGCTGGCCACATGACCTTGGAGGCATCTACGGACAATCCTGGCTCTTTGGCTTAGAAATAGGGATGAGCACCATCCCCAGAATCAGACATGACTAGACTTAATGTGAAAAGGAAACCTTTAACCTTGAACATTATTATTATTGTTAAAGTGCAATTTAATTCTGGGTGAGTGCACTTGGAAGAAGGGAAGAGTTCGATGCAGGTGATGGGAATCTTCTCTTTCTTCCAGAGATGGACTTCAATGTCTCAGGGGCCTTTGTGGGGCAGCCGGCTGTGAATTCGAATCACCTGCACAGCGGGAACGACTACGACTCAGGGACGTTGGAGCGGAAGCGGCCCATTAGCATGGCAGTGATGGAGGGGGAGCTGCTGAGGAAGGAAAGGTACAGCCGTGACCTCAGTTTCCTCCTTTGAGATGCTCAGCCTCTTTTCAGAAGGGAGACCCCCATCATCTTGGCTGTATTTGCCACCTGACTCTTCCCTTCATTGTCCAATTGATCCAAAAGCCTAAAGTTCGGGATTGTGAAAAGTTCCCCATTAAGAAAACAAAGCATTGTATATTACAGTGAATGGTTCCCATCAAATGCAAGTAAGAGTCCATGTTTACAAGAGTTGTAATCCACGGGTGTAATATTGGGTATTTATCTGTGTTTGACTTACTGGTAGTGATAGAAATTTAGTGTGACAGACAGGGATATTGCTGGCAGGTGGTAGAGAGCTCCCCGTGAGATGTTTGGGTTTCCCCACAACTTCAAAATCAAAAAAAAAATTAATAAAATGTCAGGATTCTTCCCATTTTGGACAAGCCCCGTAAGAAATGCAAATGTGAAATTGGCATTAGCCATGGGGTGACTCTCGGAGATGGTCCAAACTGATGGAAAGTCCTTGGAGCGGGCTTGTATGAGGCCTCCGTTGCCCCATTGCCATCAGGGTCTCTGCAACTAAGGCTGCACTGTTCCTTCCCCTTCCTTTGCTGCAGCCTGAGGAAGATCCAAAGGTAATGCGCTCGCATTCTTTGCACCTGGGGCTCCCTGCATGGAAAGAAATGGGGTTAGGTTTGCTGTGGATAATGGGAGTGGGGGATCTTTTTGCTATCAGACTGCACCCCTTTCTGGTGGAGGTTGATGCCCGAATGGTCCAGTTTTTGGCTTCTTTTGCAGACTTAGAGGGATATATATGAGCAATTAGTAGTAAAAGGAAGAGAAAATGTGTGGGATAATACACTTGTAAGATTTAAAAATTGAGGTAAAACTCACTTTTATTGTTGCAGGAAATATGCATCTCAGATAGAAGAATATCATATATATACTATTTTAATGTGTAATACATCTCTGATAAAATAGTAGTTAGACAAAAGAAAGAAATACCTAACTTGGGTAGAAGGGTCCCAAATGCTGACCTTCATGCCTCTGTGCATATGGCAGCATTGACTCATAGAATGTACTTCAATGCAGTTAGACTTCAATATGAAACTGCATTATATGGCAGTGTAGATGGGGCCTTCCTTCTCAAACAAAGTGCAATAAAGCCAGTTAAAATGCATTATGAATCAAAGAGGAATAAAGCCAGTATATAACTGCTATATCATGTAGTGAAAGTGCATCCTATGACAGTGTAGACGGGTCTTGTAGTGCTTCCTTCTCAAACAAAGAGCAAGGAAGGCACTCTAAAGATTATTTTTGGGAAGGGGAAGCGGTCTCTCCATGCAGAAATACACTCAAAACACCTTGAGTTGCTAGACCCAAGGTGAAAACAAGAGAGCAGGCCTATGCACCGCAGGATTCCCTCTGCCCCTCATTGCTCTGTACATCCAACGTTGATGCTTCTTCACTTCAAGAGAAGGCTTGATGCTTCCATGGGGAGCGAGAGAAAAGGACCTTTAAATGGTGGGGAGATACCTTGCGGCATAAAGCCCAGGGTCCCCCCAGAGCCCTTTCCTGTAGCTTCTTCCCTCGCCAATTATAACACATTGTAGTTTGTCTTGTCCTGTCATTCACTTTGTCCTAACTGCTCTGGCAACCGTGTTTGGGATGGGAAACGGAAGCCCAGAGGATGAGGAAGAGCTTTACTTTGGGCTCTGGCTTAAGGGCCTATGCTGCTTTTGTGTTGGTATCAATACTATCTGGCCTTCCCTCCTCTGAGCAGAGCGGAAGAGCATCCATTTCCAAACACAGGCGCCTTATGTTTTGGCTTTTTTGCAACACTACATAAGATGGAAGCTGCCATCTTGAACGCAAGCTGAGCTAAAATAACAGCTGTGTTATTCATGCTTTTGCCAGTGTGGATTGGTCAGGGTTGCGTGTGCTCTGTGGCTCTTCCCCCAAAACAAAAACTCACGCCAAAATTGGGATTTTGAACAATTAGATTATGTAAATGACACAAGCGTGCTTATTTCAAACGCTCTTTGTGCCATTCTTCATTGAGTGGGGAAGCAAGAGAGGCAGGGGCCTGATGAAGCACACCCACCACCCACCCCCCGGAAATCTTAAATCACCCCAGTGGGTGAGTCTGAGATGTCATTCTGTATTTTGCCCACATCTTTTTGGGCTGGATATTATGCCCAGTACCCAACTTGGCATTTATTATGTGTTTCCGAAGAGCACACGCAGCCCTGCCCTGAGGACATATGCAGGCCCCTTGGCTCAACTCAATGCGCTGGTTAAGCACCCGAAAGCATTTGGAGCACAACTGAAGTCAGAACCCTCTTGGGCCATTGAAGAGGCCAGTGCACGTCAATATTAGTTGGAAGATTGAATTGGCACAGTTATGCCGTATTTCATTGCATAATAGTTGCACTCCCATTTTGGGGGTGGCAAATTGGTTTTTTTTTTTTTTGTTCCTCACATAAAAGTCGCAGAGCTGTTTAGGGCTGATTTCTTCCTCCTCCCTCTTTCTTTCTTTCTTTCTTTTTCTGAAGGTGAAGCAGTTCAAAAAACCTGAAATTGAAGCCTCTGGATGTCAAAGCTTCCCTCCTTCCTCCAAAGAGTTCAGTTTCAGATTTTGTAAACTGCCTTGCCTTCAGGGAAAGAAAAAAGAGAGGGAGGGGGAATCTTCCCTCCTCCTTCCTCCAAGGCAAGACATTTCAAACAAATAGAAACTGGGCTGTTTGTTTGAGACTGGATCCTCCCTCCTTCTTCTCAGAAGTTAGGCAGTTTATTTATGTATTTTATTTTTTTAAAAAAAAACAGAAACCAGAGAATCAGGCTGGGGGATTTTTTTTGCACCACGTAATAGTCGCACCCCTTTTTTCATTCAAAAAAGGGAGAAAAATGCGACAATTATGCGATGAAATACGGCAATCCATCTTGTTCATGGTATAAATTGATGCTAAATGGCCACCCCCTAAGCTGCGTGACTGAGCCAAGGGCCATGGCCTGCCTTTGGACCTCGCAATGCCTTAAACGGACCAAGCGACAACTCCCTCGGGATGATCCCTTTGTCCAATTCTCCTCGTCTCTCTATGTAGCCGGTCTGCATGGTGTCTCCCTCTCCTCTCTTTCTCCTCCATAGCTTCGGTGTCAAGGTCATGGACTTCCCGGCGGCGAACCCCCGGAGGGGTGGCACTGTCAATAGGAAGCACACGGCCCCCGCTTTCCACCCGCCCCTCCCGCCCACCGAGACAATGGCTGTGTCGCAGGCCGGGACAGAGCAGCCCCCATCGGGCATGGGATCTGAACCCAGCCCCTTGGGCGGCCCTGCCTCCACCCATGTCCCCCTTCCCGACCCAGCTGCAGAGCAGCCCCAAGGTCAAGGCGTGGAGGAGAGCAGGTAAGAGGGACGGCATCCCAAAGGAACCGGTTCAGCCGAAGCCTCCATTGGCGCCAAGTTCATCTCCTGATTCCCCTCTGGCCAAGGGGCAATCCGTATATCAGCCTCCCCAACAGACTCATGTTTAAGTCCAGAAACATTAGTCAAAAAACCCAACCAGGTTCGACTTAACCCACAGACCAATATAAGCACTGAACCTTAACTCTTCTCAAAAAAGGAACAATTCTCAGAGTTTGGCAAGAGCTTAGTCCCTTCTGGAAGAACGAAATGAAGCACTGGCCCCTTCCTTCTGCACCCTCTGTCCTTTTCGACTGTCTCTTGTCCCATAGGAAGCCCACCCTACTCTACTTGTGTCCAGGGTCATGAAACCATGCCAACCTCTGATGCCCAGGAAGACCTTTTACTTCCTTTCTCACAGAATGTGAGCCAGTGACCTTCATTCCAGGCCAATAAAACCTTTCAGCTCCTACCACACCACTCCTACCACATGGTCATTGCACATCCCCTGTGTGTGTTTGTCAGCGTCATGGCCACTAAGCATAGGATGTCATAAGCAAATGACTTTGGGTTATAACAAACCTCTTGAAGTATTACTGGTGTTTCCCAGTCTCTATGAAATGACCCTCAACCTGTCCACAACTCATATCAAAATCCATAATTTTGATCTCAAAATCTCCCGTGATTTATAAATGGGACTGAATTACACACGAGTCTATATGATGCTTTACAGAGGAGTGGCCTCACAGGACTCTCCAGCCACCCTGAAGGACTTGGCCCAGAAGGGTCCCATCTTTCCTCCTTCCCTTGACCACAAATCCACCCAAACTGAATGCAGTGCCACTTGCAGACAATGATCCTACTACTTCTTCTCTTGGAGAAGCCTAGTCAAGTGCCCCATCCAGGATCCCTCTGCCTTGTCTGTCTTGTGCATAAATGGCATAGCATTCTGTGTCCCTCACTTTGTTCGCTTAGTCCTTGCTTTAGTGTTAAAATGTTGGTTCATGTTGAAGGAGAAGGAAGCCAAGTGAGGAGCTCCTTTACGGGGGACAGGTTTGTTTGGCTTCCGACTCTCTTCTGTGTGCAAAGTGAAACGTGTAACCCTGAATAACAACCGCTTTGTACTGACACAATCATAATAGTAGTAAAAATAACAATAACAACAACACTGGTCTCCCCCTATATCCACTCAACTCCTAATACATGCCTACCTTGGAAGGTAACTTTGGAAACCTGCAACTCAGAAGGCCATTGATCCCTATGAGCAGAGTCTCCCAAATAGTAGGTCAAAGGGCCAAAAGCCCTCACCTGAGTCACACATTGTTATCATTGTCATTATTAATGGCATCATCATTATTTACATACCACCTTCCCCTCTAAGGCTGCTTATAAACTTAAGGAATTATTATGGTATAATCTAAATTTATATGAAAATTCAACAGTGAAAGAGAATAGCGGCCTTGCTGTTAGAAGAACCAATTGATTGTCTCCTCTTGAGGCTCAGTTTGGGATTCCTTGCTGTGTTGAATGAGGCCTCCCTAGGCTGGCCTTTCAGAACGGTGGCCTTTAAGAGAAGCAGCCCCTCACCCTCTGCCCTCCCTCTGCCTCTCTTTGCAGTGCTTCAAAGCTGAAGGACCCAGTGCCCTCCACAACTCCTCCCCCCACCAGGAACGGGGCCCATGGGGGTCCTGTCCCGGTCCATCTGCAGCCAGCTGGCAGCACCGTCCAGCTCTCGGTCGGGCAGAACCACTCCTCCAGCGCCTCTGGACCTAGTCCACACGCCGTCAGGAGAGGTGAGTCCTTCGGATGTGGGAACGATGGCCCACCAGGAGCCACATCCAGGAGCCCTTCTGGGGGTCTCTGAGGATGTGGCTTTGTTTTCTCAGCCGTTGCTTGGGAATTGGTCCATTCCTCTCAAAAGGATTTGAAGAAGGAGTAGGGCAGCAGGGTATGTTAGACGTAGGTGTTGTATGTTGGTAGAATAGAGTTTTGGGTTATGTTAGCAAATAGAATAGGTTTGCATTTTGTAATGGGATTTGTTACCAAAAAAAAGTAGTATTATTATTCTAGGGATGGCTCTGTCACCAAACTGGAACATGAATTAACATACCTTCCTGACTTAGGTCTCCATGCTAACCCTCCAGTGACCTCTTAGGACAACAGTTGGTGATCCTCTAAAGCAGTGGTTCTCAACCTGTGAGTCCCCAGGTGTTTTGGCCTCCAACTCCCAGAAATCCCAGCCAGTTTACCAGTTGTTAGGATTTCTGGGAGTTGAAAGCCAAAACACCTGGAGACCCACAGGTTGAGAATCATTGATCTAATGGAAACCATCCTGTAAAGCAGGGTTCTCAACCTGTGGGTCCCCAGATGTTTTAGCCTTCAGTTCCCAGAAATCCTAACAGCTGGTAAAATGGCTGGGATTCCTGGGGGTTAAAGGCCAAAATGCTTGGGGACCGACAGGTTGAGAACCACTGCTGAAAAATGTATGTGTGTGTATATATATATATATTCACTTTTATTATAGTCATTGATTGATATTGATAGAAGTATAGATATCTGTATGGATGATACTACACTTGATCTTAGCCAAAAGACAGAGAAGCTGTTTTCTAATCTATTTTTTAATAACTGCTTCACTAGGAAGCTGTGTTTCCCCTTCCCAGGGCACTTGTGCCCCACTTTGTGCTGCTCAGTGACTGTAATAAAGTTTTGTATTGTATTGTATGGATGAAAGAATCAGTAGTGAGAAGCAGGAGAGGAGTGAGGGGATGATGGGCACGGATAGCTCAGTGCTAGGAGACCCCAACAGTCTTAGGCAGAGAAGGCTGAAGATTTAATAAAGCTACATCTCCTGGGATCCCGTAGCCATGGCAGCATAGATAGCCGTGGCAGCATAGATACACCACAGATGTCCTTCTCAGGAGCCAAATAGTACAGGAGGGGAACTGGGTGAACAGTCTTTTTGTTGGGGGCTGTTTAACGTGAGCTCTTCCCTTCTGTCTTCCTTTCTTTCTTTCTTGCAGCAGTGAAGAAGCCGGCCCCTGCCCCTCCAAAGCCAGCTAACCCACCTCCCGTCCAGCCAGGGAACTCGACTACCCCTTTGGCCCCGCAGCCGCCCTCGGTGTCCCCCAAACCCCCCACCAGGAGCCCCTCTCCACCCTCTCAGGCCTCTTCAGCCCCTCGGCGCTACTCCAGCAGCCTCTCCCCCATCCAGGCCCCCAGCCACCCACCTCCGCAGCCCCCCATGCAAGCAGGGACCCCCCCTCTGCAGCTGAAAGCCACTCCCAGCCCCTCGCCTTCCAATTCAGAGCCCGGGCCGGAGCAGCAGAGGCAGCCCTCTCCCCCACCGCGCACCCCCAGCCCTCCAGAAACGCCACCTCTTGAGAAGCAGAGTGCAGGCTCCCCACCTTCAGGGCCACCTCTCCCTCCCCAGGACACTCCGYCCACCCAGTCACCACCCCCGATGCCTCAGGGGGGCACCTTGCCTCGGCCGCGGCCTGTGCCCAAGCCCCGCAACCGGCCCAGTGTGCCCCCACCGCCTCACCCCTCTGCCCCAGTGCCACAAGAGGGCTCTGTGCTGCCGGGACCCCCTTCCACCGCCTCCCGCATCGTGACTGGTAAGAGCTTCCTTCCAAGATGTAAAGGCATTACATAATGGGGCAGGGCTGCTAGGAGTCAGGGCCTGGTTGGAGTGTGCAGAAAGAGGCCGTTTTCTCTTTTACAGCCGTGATCCCCAAATTCTAGTCTCTAAAGTGTTTTCGGCTTTTGTTCCCATAAGCCCCAGCCAACTTGACCAATACCCAGGAATGCTGGGCGTTAGAAGACCAAAATGACCCCAGTTTGGGCCAATCTATACTGACCTTTCAATGCAGTTTGAAACTAGCTAAACAGTCAATAATAATAACAGTTATTGAATCAATTTATTATTGCTACTATTACCTACCTCTTTCTGCAGCAGTGAATGCTCAAGGAAGTGTGCAAAAGAAAACGCTTAATGTGCCTCAGTGGTTTGTGTCATTCCCATCCGGGCCTGAAACATTTGCACATCAAAAGCCACTTTTTAATTCCAGTTCGAAACTGCCTTAAATGATCGGTGTAGACATGCCCTTTGAGAACCACCACTTTAGAGCAAATTGATGATTAACAAAGCAATTATGTGGTTGAGGACCTTATCAGGCATCTACTGGTTTGACTTCTCTGCTGTTTATTAAGCTGGATTCTGCGTGCTTTTAATGGGACTTGTGGTGAGAAAGCATAAATATTTTCTGGGTTTTCAGGCCAAAGGAATGCATGCCCGCACCTTAATTGTACCAGAGCTCTAATGCATTGGCCTCGATCCCCTAATGGGTGCTGAAACAACAATCCCTTTTGAAGCTTTGCCAGCAAATAACCCTTTGAATCCCTCTAGGTGATAAGCACCGCGTGCAAGTAATCAATTCTAACTGAGAATTTTATTAAACAATCTAGATGTTTGACCTGTGTTATTCAGCAGGAACTGAGAGTGAAAATGGTAAGGAGGCCCCCTGATTGGCCGGACCCTCATCTTGTGTGTGAACGCGAAGGAATCACGGGCGCCGCTTGGCCGCACACTAACCGGGCTCCATTAACATGGCTTGGCGCTTGCCCCTTCCGAACTAATCCTGCATGCAGGAGGAGAGGGGGGCTCCTTTTGGTTCCCCCTCGCCCCAACTCTAACACATTGGGGAGATGCGCCCCGAGAGAGGCACCCCTATTTGGGACGGTTCTTTAAAGTCCCATTCCAAGTTCAGATCTATACTTTATAGAAGTCTTTGGTGGTTCAAGACATTAAATATTAAACTTGTGAAGGCCTCCTACCCTCCTCAATTGATGATGATAATAATAATAATAATAATAATAATAATAATAATAATAATAATAATAATTGGTGGTCCAAGCAATTAAATATGACATTTGTGAATGCCTTCCACCCTCTCCAATACATAATAATAATTTTGTTATTTATTACTTGGCTCTGCCTGAAAACAGACCATTATAACATCATTAAAATGTGTATCAAAATGCACACAACAAAGGCCAGTTCTATTATTATTATTATTATTATTATTATATTCCTCTTTTTATGTCTACTAGATTGAGACAAAAAGGGGCTTCCCTTCTCTTTCTCCATCTTTTGTCAGGGTTGCTTTGCGGGAGGATCTGTCTCTGCAGGAAATCAAGGGCCAATTTCTACAATTAGTCCTCTGCAGTGAATGGGGTTAGAGCAGGTATGGGCAAACTTCGGCCCTCCAGGTGTTTTGGACTTCAACTACCACAATTCCTAACAGCTAGTAGGAATTGTGGGAGTTAAAGTCTAAAATACCCGGCGGGCCGAAGTTTGCCCTTGCCTGAATTAGAGGCCCTCATCAGATTGGGTAAACAAGGCCTCCATGTTTGTGAGCGTAAGTCCTTTGTGTTTGTGGAAGATGTGCTCCCTGCTTTTCGGGGTGGGGGGGGTGCATTGACATCAAGCCATCGCTTATGTCCTGTACGATCAGAAGTCTTGTCCTGCTTCTTTGTCATTTGTTGTAGGCAATTATCATATTGCTCTGATTATGTCACCAATTGTGCCCACTTCCAGGTAACAGCCAGGTCGCCATCCACACGTGGCCTGGTTTGTGACTCTATAAACCAGAATCCCCTCCTATGAGAAGGAATATTTCCTTCCTTTCATGGACTGGGAAGTCCCATCAGTTGGAAAAATAGTAACAACAACAACAAGCAAAGTCTTTTAGAACTAACATCCTCTACTTTCATGGATTGGGCAGTTCCCTTGATTGGCTTTCTCTTTGGAATAATAGTAACAACAATGAGCAAAGTTTGTTAGAATTAACACTCCTCTCCTTTCATGGACCAGGCAGCTTCTGCAGTTGACTTTCCCTTGGGAATATAATAATAATAAGAGTGTGGCGCTCAGAGCATTAAAAACAGCTCCTTGGCTCATGCCGCAAGAAGGGGCTGGTGATAACTTGTTGTTATTGTTTTGCAACTTTTGGCTCCTCTGTGAGTTTCCAGGATTTTGTGCCCAGATTTTTTTTTTCCCTTAGCAGATCTGAAGGGGAAACACTTTTGATCGGAAAAATGGGATGCGACTATTATGTGATGAAAAAACAATCTTCTTTTCATTCTCTTGTTTCTGGTTTTTCTTTCTTTTCTTTTCTTTCCTTTTTTTGTTTTTTTTTTTTAAAGAGGAGTTTCCCAAACACACATTTTCAGAGGCATGGTCTGGTTGCTGTTGTCTCTACAAGGGAAATGTGTCCTTTCCATGAATGCATATACTCAATATTTCATCCCACAATAGCCACACCTTCTATCCCTTTTTTAAAAAATCCACCTCTCTCCCTTTTTTCTTCAGAGGCAACTCCAGTTACAAAATCTGAAATTGAGCTCTTTGGAGGGAGGGAGGGAGGGAGGGAGGGAGGGAGGAAGAGCAGAGTCCTAGAGATCTCCATTTCAGACCTCAGAGGAAAGAGGAGGGAAGATTTCCCCTCTGTCCCTTCCTTCTTTCTTTATTTCCTTCTTTCTTTCTCTGAAGACAAGGCAGTTTACAGCATCCGAAAGAAGAAAGAAGGGAAGAGCAGAGCTCCAGAGACCCAAATTTTATAGTATTTAAACTGCCTTAAGGCCTTCAGAGAAAGATGGAGGGAGAGAAGAAAAGAAGTGGGAATTGCCTTATTTGGCTCTGCGACTATTATGCGAGGAACACAAAATTCCCATCTTGTCATCCCTCCCAAAATGGGGCTGCGACTATTATGTGGTGAAATAACACATAATAGTCACAAAAACGTACACATATGTTTTTGTATTTTATGTTTTGCTGCTTTGTCCTTCTCCGTGCAGACTCCAGCCCCAGTGTCCCAGATCCATTGCTGCGGGGCCTTTCTGCCACAGAGCCTCCAACCCCTGCAGGACTTGTGACGTTGCCTCTGCCGCCTCCGAGTTCGAATCCCCACAACCACCTTGTGCTGGACGTCGACCGTGACACGGAAAGCACAGCCCTGTAAAAGAAAGGAAATGCTCCAGGATGGAGGCGGCCGAGGCCTAACAGTGAGAACCTTTTGTAAAGAAGATTATGGCATTATCTGTCCGTATCCGGTTTGGTGACCTGTGCCTTGACGGCGAGGCCAAAGTGACGCCTTTCAGGAGCCTCACTGCTGCAAGATGGTGTTCCGCGCCAAAAAAAGAAAGAAGTGAAAACAAACCCAAGAGAATCCAAAGCAATGCATGTTAACCCTGGAAGTATCCTCTCTCTGGAACTTCCTCCTCCTCCTTTGCTCTTACCAAGGAGGCGTCCTGGCCTCCGACATGCTGCAGACTTCTTCTTGTTTTGTTGTTAAAACTATGAACCAAAAAGCAAAAAAGATACTCTCACCGCCAGCCCTGCAGAGCGGGACTGCTGGTTATCAGTCTCTTCTCCCGACGGCGGATGTTCTCCTTGTGCCTTGAAGGAAACAAAGCTTTTTCTCTCTCTAAACATTTCAGTGCTAGACTCTCTCTCTCTCTCTCTCTCTCTCACTTTCTCTCTCTCGTTTTTTCTTAAAGTATTATTTACTTCTTTTGTCCCGTCCCCCCCAATAGTTATTTGTATGTACCTCCCTATTTTGTTTGTTTTCCTTTAATGGCCGGTTAGAGAGTGGCTATCAAGCTAGAAAAACTTTTCAGAGAGGGGAAAAAAAAACACAAATGTGTATTTGCTTCCGGTTGTTGAAATTGGGAAGTGATTTTGAGCCTCTGCTCTGAGTAAAAGCCCACCTCGCTTTCGGAAATGGCTTGGAAAGTACATTCATTGTTATCGCGGCAGCCTAAACCCAATGGTCGGCCCTGGGTCCAGTTAGTTCATTGGGTTTTATGTAAGAGGTATCGATCGTCCATCAGCGAAATCAATGCATTTCAGTCACAATGGGGATTTCATTCTTATTTCCTCACTCTCAAGGGAGATTTTGGCCTTTGCTTCCATCCAGAAGGGCTGCCTCAGTAAGGCATAAGTGGTACTTGCAGCACCTCAGATCATAGAGGAAGGTGCCCCATTCTACCCAATGGAGGACATCCCAAGCAGACATCCTTCAAAAGGGTTTTAACACTTTATTTTCAATAATTTTATTGTTTTATTGTTTGCATATTTTTAGGTTACAAAATGGATTGGGTTTTGTTGGGAGCCGGCATGACGATGATGATGATATCCTACTATAGTTGAACACTCATGGCTGAGTAATAATAATAATAATTCACTATATAGGCCATTGATCCCATTTCTAAAAGTTCCTTTTAAGGTCCATTTGAAACCTACCCTCCTGGAACTTAAAGCCATCATTGATATTATTTTTATGTATATATATTATTTTATTTTTATTTATTATATTTGTTGATAATAATACATTATTATTATTATTATTATTATTATTATTATTATTAGAGACATAACAAGATTAGTACACAGCAAACATGATCACATGTCGGACACTTCCCAAGTGACTAGGATTGTGTGATGTATCAGCGAATAATGCATGCAGATCGGAGTAGGGTGGCCCTTTGCAACTAACAGATGGTGATTTTGTCAATGCCAGTTGTTTTTATGTGCAGGCCAAGGTCTTTAGGCACTGCACCCAGTGTGCCAGTCACCACTGGGACCACCTTGACTGGCTTGTGCCAGAGTCTTTGCAGTTTGATCTTTAAATCCTCATATTGTGTAAGCTTTTCCAGTTGCTTCTCATAAATTCTGTTACTTGGGAGTGCAACATCAATTATTCATATTTGGTGGTGGTGGTTGTTGTTGTTGTTGTTGTCATCATCGTTATGAGAACTGGTTCTACCCTCTTGGCCAACTCCTCTTTTGAGTCACCCAACTGTATGATTTCCTCTCATCTATTTGCCCATTTGAGATCATTTGGAGACCAAACAGCAGCCTCCTCAAAGTAAGAGTGGATTCAACATACTTGATTATAGAAGGATCGGATGGAAGAATTGTTTTAAAACGCCCTACAACCTGATTGGAAAGCAGCCCCCAACTTCAAGTCATTTCGATGGGAGTCAGCTGCGTTTATACAAAGGTGTTTGCAGCCCTCCGAATATTGGACTTCAACTCCCACGGTTCATTAGAATGGGGTTTATTGATATTATTTGCTTTGGTTTTTTTTTCTTTATGAAGCCATAAGCTCCACCTGTGACCTTTTCCCACCCCTCTTTTGTTTCTCCTCCCTTTGTAATGGAAGGATGCTGAAGACAAAACACAGCTCTTTTTGGCCTTCTTTGCAAGGCCTGGCTTAAGGACTGAAAGAGAGTTAGCAAGCAAAGCATGGTTTGCAGCAATGTGCAAATACATAATGTGCAAATACTACTTACTTATTTACTTACTTAGGTGACCCCTTGTTGTCCGAGTATGATGGCGTTCCAAATGAAGTGTCTTGGTGGTGGATACGTAGGTGACTGTAGAGCCCTGTTCTTGACCGCATGTTCTTTCACAGTGAGGGCATCAGTTTCCAGGTGGAAGGCAGTCCCGGTCAGGGTTGGCTTGATGTGCCTTCTTCTTGGCACGTTTCTCCCTTTTGCCCTCCATTCGTGCTGCTTGGAATTCCACAGCACTGTTGTTCACAGCTGACCTCCAGTTTGAGCACTCAAGGGCCAGGGCTTCCTGGTTCTTTGTATCTATGCCACAGTTTTTAATGTTAGCTTTAAGCCCATCTTTAAATCTCCTTTCCTGTCTACCAGCATTCCATTTTCCATTTCTGAGTTGGGAGTAGAGTAACTGCTTTGGGAGATGGTGATCGGGCATTTGGACAACGTGGCCAGTCCAGCAGAGTTGATAGTGTAGGGGCATCACTTCAGTGCTGGTGGTCTTTGCTTTTATAGAGAGGTGGCTGCCAAGGTAGCAGAAGTGGTCAATATTTTCTAACATTACACCATTAAAGTGTATTTCTGGCATTGCAGAAGGAATTGGCTGGTGCCTACTGGAAGAGCACTTTGGTTTTCTCAATGTTCAGTGAGAGGTTGAGCTTCTCGTATTCTTCTGCAAAGGTGTGGCTTGCTTAGAGTTGACAGATGGCAAGATATTTAATGTCAGCAGACTAAAAGCCAAAACCAAGGTCACAACAACATCTGTTACAGAACTCCATTATGCCAATGATACCGTAGTCTGTGCACATTCAGATGAAGACCTACAAGCCACTCTGCAAATACATAGACCCTTGCAGAGCTTCCCTTTGTTTAGATAAGCAGCCAAATGAAGTAGACAACTCCCAAGTGTTGTAAATACAAACATCTTTATTGATGCCTTCCCTAGTGCAGATGGATCTCAAGAATCCCAGGCCAAAGTCTGTATTTAGGCTCATATCACCAATGATACTATCATCCTGCATTTTGGATGGATATCCGGAGCCTTTCATTTCAGCATATGGGCAGGAGTGGGCCACACCGTTTCTGCAAAAAAGCGCAAAGACACCAAGCGGTTAATGATCATAATTGAGACCAAAGGGTGCATCTGCACTGCAGATTTAATGTGGCTTGGCACCACTTTCAACTCCTTTTCACACTCATTTCTCCAGTTTTGTTGCATTGCCTTTTAACCTATAATATGTCAAAGTAAAATAGCATAGGAATTATCTTTAGTCTTAACTGCCACCTAACCACCAGTTATAGTATATATGTCATTGTTTTTTAGTTCATTATTTCTGAAAAGAAAAATTACTATGCAATTTTTTAAAGCAAACCTAGACTACAACATCCTCTGCATTCAGAGGGTCTCTTGCTTTCCTTCTTACCAGAATCCATGCTGGGCTGCAGAGGGTTACTGAACGTTTGGAGGAACTCAGCGGGGCTCCAGCACTCGGGAGCCTGGCAAAGGCGGTGGACAGTTTCAGCCGGGATCAGAAGTTCGGGGACCCCCCGGTGCAGGCAGTCGCTCAGGCCCTTGTTGCCCACCTGGAACATGTTGCGCAACAATTTTATTAATAACATAGATGCAGGGTTAAAAGGTGTGATCATCAAGTTTGCAGGCGACACCAAATTGGGAGGGATAGCCAATACCCCAGAAGATGGGAGCAAAATCCAAAACGATTTTAATGGATTAGAGAGATGATGGACCAAAACTAACAAAATGAAGTTCAATACTGACAAATGCAAGATACTCCACTTAGGCATTAAAAATGATATGCAATGATACAGAATCAGGAACGCCTGGCTCGACAGCAGTATGTGTGACAAAGATCGGAGTCCTCATGAACAGAAAGGAGAACATGAGCCAACAGTGTGGAGTGGCAGCTTAAAAAGCCAATGGGATTTTGGCCTGCATAAATAAAGAGTCTCGTGTTTAGATCCAGGGAAGTCAGGCTACCCCTCTATTCTGTCTTGGACCACACCTGGAATCACACTTTCGCACTGGGCACTGCAATTGAAGGGAGATGTTGTCAAGCTGGGAAGTGTCCAGAGGAGGGTGACTAAAATAATCAAGGGTCTAGAGAACAAGCTCTATGAGGAGCAACTGGGCATATTTAGCCTGCAGAAGAGAAGGCTGAGAGGAGACATGATGAGGGCCGTGTATCAAGATGTGAGGGGAAGTCATAGGGAGGAGAGAGCAAGCTGGTTTTCTGCTGCCCCGGAAACTAGGACGCAGAACAATGGCTTCAAACTACATTAAAGGAGATTCCACCTGAACARTAGGGAAAACTTCCTAACTGTGGGCGCTGTTCAGCAGTGGAACTCTCTGCCCCAGAATGTGGTGGAGCAAAATCCAAAACGATTTTAATGGATTAGAGAGATGATGGACCAAAACTAACAAAATGAAGTTCAATACTGACAAATGCAAGATACTCCACTTAGGCATTAAAAATGAAGGCTTTGAAGGCTTTTAAACAGACTAGATGGCTATGTGTCAGGGGGGTGGGGGGGGGTGCTTTGAATGATTTTCCTGCTTGGCAGAGATTTGAACTGGATGGCCCACGAGGTCTTTTCCAAAGACTATCGTGGGATGCTTCATTACAGGCTGGATGAGCATCTTTCAGGAAGGCTTTCATGATGCTGTCCTGTCTAGCAGAAGGGGGTTGGACTGGATGGCCCTTGGAGTCTCCCCCAATTCTTGTTGTTGTTGTTCATTCGTTCAGTCGTCTCCAACTCTTCGTGACCTCATGGACCAGCCTACGCCAGAGCTCCCTGTCGGCCGTTACCACCCCCAGCTCCCTCAAGGTCAGTCCAGTCACTTCAAGGATGCCATCCATCCATCTTGCCCTTGGTCGGCCCCCAATTCTAGGATTCAGTAATAACAATAAACGATAATGATTCCTCCCTGGAGATTTCTAAGCAGAGGCTGGATGGCCGTTCGTTGGGAGCGTGCGGGTTGTGCATGCCTGCCCGGCAGGAGGACTAGAGTGAATAGCTCTTGGGTGGCCCTTCCAATTCTAGCATTCTGTGATTTAGTGACTGGAGGGCCCTTGGAGTTCCTTCCAACTCGTAAGCGTCAATGGTGGTGGAGGTGGCATCTCCTTCCCTGGAGGTTTCTAAAGGTACACACACACACACACACATATATCCATACACACATATACTTACATATGTACACACATACATATATACATACACATATATACACATCACATGTACACGTGTGTGTATATACATCTATAAGTATACATGTATACATATACACATATATGCACATACTGTACACATCTACAGACAGGTGCACATGCATGTACACATAAATGCACTTATACACATAAATATACATACGTACACATAAATACCCATATGCACATATTATACATGCATACACATGTACCTACACGTACACATGCATATACAGATATATACACATATATACCTACATATATATACATATACAGATACACACATATATTCATACATATACATGCATATATACATGTACATACACATGTACACATATATACACATACACATATGTATAAATGCATATATACATACATACACATACCTTGAGGGTGGCCAGGTAGACGCCCATCTTGAGCAAGAGGGTTAGGCACTCGGTGAGCACCTCTTCAGTGGTCTGGCCCTGGGTGGCGTCCTCCAGAGTCTCGGGCACCTCCACCGCTGTGGCATACCACTGTGAGAAGAGCCGCGTGGGGATGTTGTGGGAGAGGACCAGCACCTTCATGCTCTGCAACAGGGCCCTGGGGGAGAGGGGGAGAGAAGGGACAGGTTGGAGTAAGCATACTCCAGAAGGCGGGATCAGACTCCATAGGAACCTCTGCAGATAAGAGTTAGTTTGGCCCAAACTAACTCAGAGACAGGATGGGAAACACCTGGCCTGACAATATGGGGAAAAGATCTTTGAGTCTTTGTGGACAAGTTGAACATGAGCTAAGAGTGTGATGCAGCAGCTCAAAAAGCCAATGGGATTTTGGGCTGCATCCAAAGGAGTCTAGTGTCTAAATTGAGGGAAGTAATGGTGCCCTTCCATTCTGCTTCTCATCGACTTTGAGGATGCTCAGAGTTGCCAACGCACAAAGTTCCATGGTAAGAAACAGAACCCAACAGGGCACCAAGCAGTGTGGCACAATCCCTGAAAGCTCCAAAAGGCCGAAAAAGGGTTCCTCGGGTGCATCTGCACCATAGAATGAATGTGGTTTGGAACCATGGTTCAACCCGATGAGCATCAACTCTCCTTTGCAAGCTCTACTCTAGGCTTTTGCCCCACTTACTCTGAGCCTTTCTTTTCAAAGTTGGCAAGGTCCTTCAGGATGTGGTAGAGAGTCCCACTGGAAGCCTGGTAAAAAGAAGATGAAATCATATTCTGCAAAGGGTCTCCATTTGAGAAGGCTCAGGGATTCTGCTAGGATGTAATAATAATCATCATCATCTATATAAATAAAAATGTAATGTTCATTTGTGGGGTTAACATAACTTTAAAACCACCTGACGAATTGACACCAAATTTGGACACAATACACCTATCAGGTAAACCATCACTCATAAAAACACTGAAAAACACAGTAGAAGAGACTTAAAAAGGCAAAAAAATTACAATCCACGCACAAAACCACATATATGCAAATATACACATTTATACACACACAAAACACATATACACAGACTGGGCCACAGCAACGTGTGGCAGGGAACGGCTAGTCTATATAAATAAAAATGTAATGTTCGTTTGTAGGATTAACATAACTCAAAAACCACTGGACGAATTGACACCAAATTTGGACACAATACACCTCTCAGGCCAACAAGTGACCATCATTCATAAAAACACTGAAAAACACAGCAGAAGAAACTTAAAAAGCCAAAACACACAAAAATACATTACAACGCATGCGTAAAACCACATATATATACACAAACACACGTATATACACATATATACAAACATATACACAAATAATGCACATATACACAAACTGGACCACGTGGTAGGGGACAGCTAGTAATAATAATAATAATAATAATAATAATAATAATAATACCATGCGAACTTTTTTCAAATGCCAATGTCTTCCCTTTCTTTTACGTGGCCCACCTCAATAACATGAAGAATGCAGGAAGGATAGATGAGCAGGACCCCGGAAGCCGCTTCTCCCAAATGGAATTTGTAGATCTGCTGGAAGAGCTGCTCATGATAGGCTGGCAAAGAGAGCGAAAAGCACATTACAATAACAGGATCCTAGAGTTCAAAGGGACCCCTAAAGGTCACCCAGTTCAACCCTCTTTCTGACACTGGACGGTTATACTACCGGACCCTCAGTTTAACCATGATGGGATCCTGGGATGTGTAGTATGCTAGAAAATTATAAATCCTCAGATAGAAAACTAGTTTTCTGCCCCAAACTTTCCCAGTCAAGCAAAAGCCAACCGCTGCAACATCTCCCATCATGTTCATTTTGCATGAATGAATCTTGTCATTTCCGCCACATTTTTGTTCTGGCCACACTAAAATTAAGAATAGGTATAGCAGGTATACTTATGATCTCTCCGTCTTGTACTCCTTGCCTCAATTTTCCCACAAGGAACATCCGATGGATCAAGTATTTCTGCAGGGAAGGAGCACCAAAAATGTGAGCAAACCACCAGGTCATTTACTTCGGAGCACATTGATGCGACTTCTAATTATATACAAATAGATATACATATATATATTATTTTATGTTATATTATTATGTTAATATATAATAATATATAAATATTATTTTTATATTTTATATAATATTTTATGGTATATTTTATTATATAATAGTATAATAAATATTACATTATATATATTCTACAATATTATTTTATATTTTATCATATTATTTTATATTATATAGTATATACTATGATTTATATTATATATTATTTTATATTTTATATAAAATATATTATTTATATAATATATGTTATATTATTATATTTTACAGAATTGTATTATTGTATTATTTCATATTATTATTTTAAAAATATAATATAATACAATAATAAAATAATTTATTAATATTTTTATTATTGTATTATATTTTAATAATTAATAATATAAAATAATACAATATTATATTATATATAATATAATAATAAAATAATGTATTAATATTTATTAAAGGAAGAGGGGCCAACCAAGGGCAAGATGGATGGATGGTATCCTTGAGGTGATTGGCTGGACCTTGAAGGAGCTGGGGGTGGTGACAGCAGACAGGGAGCTCTGGCATGGGCTGGTCCATGAGGTCACGAAGAGTCAGAAGTGACTAAATGAGTAAACAACGTTAATGTTTATTATTATTTCAGAGCCTATATGGTTTGAGACCTGGGCAAGGCCTCTGGAGGCCTGGGTCCGAATCCCTGCTCAGCCATTGAGGCTCCCTAGTGATGGCCCTGGGCCAGTCACACACTCTCAGCCCCATTCAAGCCCATTATAGGGTCTGCGATAAGATAAGGAAACACAACAAACCTTCATCTGGTGCCTCCGCTTCTCCTCTAAAGCACTCAGGAGGGTGCTTCGGGTCACAATGCTGGCCAATATATTGGCCATCTTGACCGGCAGTGGCCTGTTCCGGAACCCAAAGGCAACCGACACACTGACAGAATGGCCGGGGTATTTTTTGAAAATATATATTACCTATACACACACACACACACACACACACACACACACACACACACACGACCCTATTATTATTATTATTAGGCACCCACCCAACAAACCATGCTCAATGCAATATTATTATTATTATTAGGCTATTATCATCATCATTATCATCAGGCAACCACCAATCAAACCATGCTCAATGCAAAATTATTATTATTGTTGTTGTTGTTATTTTACTGACACAAAACCACAGTATGTCACAGCAAATGAGATCTATATGCTGGATTTCGTATCACAAAATCACAAGTCAAACACTTCCCAAGCGTCTAGGACTGCGTGATGTATTTTCAAATGATGTGTACAGATCCAAGGTGGCTTTTTGCAGTTGACAGATCGTGAGTTTGTCAATGTTTATTGTTTCCAAATGCTGACTGAGATCTTTTGGCACAGCACCCAATGTGCCGATGACCATATTATTATTATTATTATTATTATTATTATTATTATTATTATTTGAAACACAACAAGATGAGTCCACAGCAGACACTCTGCTGGCTGTTGTATTGGATCACACGTCAGACACTTCCCAAGTGTCTAGGACTGTGTGATGTATCAGCGAATAATATGTGCAGATCCCAGTAAGGTGACCTTTTGCAGCTGGCAGATGGTAATTTTGTCAGCACCGATTGTGTTTAAGTGCAGGCCAAGGTCTTTAGGCACTGCACCCAGTGTGCCAATCACCACTGGGACTACCTTTACTGGCTTGTGCCAGAGTCTTTGCAGTTCGATCTTTAAATCCTCATATCGTGTCAGCTTTTCCAGTTGTTTCTCTGCAATCTTGCTATTGCCTGGGATTGTGACATCTACAATCCATACTTTGTTTTTTAACACGATTGTGAGGTCAGGAGTATTATGCTCCAAAACTCTGTCTGTCTGAATCCGGAAGTCCCAGAGGAGTTTGATGTGTTCATTCTCTGTAACTTTTTCCGGCTTGTGATCCCACCAGTTCTTTGTCGCAGGCAGATAGCATTTGTGGCACAAGTTCTAGTGAATCATCTGAGCAATGGTCTTATGCCTCTGCTTGTAGTCTGTCTGCGCAATCCTTTTACAGCAGCTGAGAATGTGATCTCTTGTTTCATCTGCTTCCTTGCAGAGTCTACACTTGGGATCTGTTGTCACCTTTTCAATTCTGGCTTTAATGGCATTGGTTCTAATGGCTTGTTCTTGGGCTGCCAGAATCAGGCCCTCCGTCTCCTTTTTCAAATTTTCTTTATTATTATTATTTGGAAAGGGCAAGGGCTGGGTTTGGGAGTCAAAAACTGGTGAATGACAAAAAAAAAGTCCTCTGTATTTTAATCTTCTCTTTTAAAAAATTCTACCAATCCATCCATATATATATGACTGGACCCTTTTAGGCACAACCAAAAACCATTTCCTTTGAAACAGAACCTCAAACAATAATGGAGAGATTAGTAATAATAATAATAAGAATCCCTTTGCAATTAGATTTGCTTTATTTGTGATGTTGATGTCTATCTATGCCCCTAAAAGGAAAATTAGCCCAATTATTTCTGTCAGGAGATGCCTTTCTGCCCAGAAAGAAGCAAACCAAGACCATATTTGATCATCTAAATTAATTTTATTTTCGGTCCTTTTGGCTTTCGGCCTCTTTTGCAGGAATTGGAAATGACGTTACTCTCGAGGAACCCCATTGACTTGCATAGGAGTTGCAACCGAGGAAAGGTGCGAGAATCTCCAAATATTTATTGCCATAAATATGGAAAAAATGTTGGGCTCAACGGAAGATACATTTGAATTCTTCTAAAATTCACAAATTGGTTGGATTAGGAAGGTGGCATTGCAAGGCGAGAAAAAGTAACTTAAATAAAGCAGCTTCCATGTAATAAATAAAATCATGAAAAACAATGGCAGTATTCACAAAATAGCCTGAACTTGGCAGGACCTTTGAAAGCTGGCATGGGCCAACTTCAGCCCTTCAGGTGTTTTGGACTTCAACTCCCACAATTCCTAACAGCCTACCGGCTGTTAGGAATTGTGGGAGTTGGAGTCCAAAACACCTGGAGGGCTGAAGTTGGCCCATGCCTGCTTTAATGGATAATGGGAAATAACATAACCCATCATCCCCATTTGCAAACCGAGCCCATCATCCACCAATAAACAAAGCTTGATGCAAGATGCGGATTTAAGGCAAAGCATGTACTTTGCCAAACAGAGGTCTGTCTCCGTTCAGGTTGCAGCTGACTTTTGGCGTTCACTGCTATAGCGAATAGAACTAAAAATCCCATAAAGTCTTCTTCCCTACGCAAAGTAGGCCCAAAGGAAGACCCCGGCGCTGAGGCACAGGATCAGGTTGACGTTGAGGATGTGCTTGACAGCCGGTGCTTCCTTCTCTTCTTCATTAGAGGCCAAGGCCACCTCCACTTTGGGCCCCGAAGGTGCTGCGTCCTGCCGCTCCATCCCACAGACCCACAGTAGCAGCGCCACCAACCTTGAGGACCCCTTACCTGTGGGGAGACAGGTAACCATTTTAATTTGCAAGCCCCGCAGTTGGAAAGCTAGCTCCTCAGCCCCACACCAAACCCTCCCTTCCTCCTCTTCTCTCTCTCATTGGAGTATCGATATAGTTATAAAGTTATATATAAGGTTAAGGAAAACCCTGCAGCTAGAAAGCTAGGTAGGTTGCTGTGAGTTTTTGGGGCTGCATGGCCATGTTCCAGCACCATTCTCTCCAGATATTTTGCCTGTATCTGTGACAAATGGCATCTTCAGAGATTCTGTTGACAGTGAGGCAACTGGAGTGTATCTATACCTGTGAAATAATGTCCACAGTGGGACAAAAAATCCTTGTCAGCTTGAACCAAGTGTCAGTGTTGCAGTTAACAAGCTTTATTAGCATTGAGTAGCTTTGCAGCTGCAAAGTCAATCAGTGAGGGTATTCAGGGAGGGTTCCCCTTGACGTATGGTAAGAACACTTTTCCTCTGGGTCTTTGTCAATCTTTGACAATAAATAAGAGACACCACTCAGAAACAGGAGGATTCCAGACAGCAAACAATCAAGTACCAATTAACACCCCCCCCCCCAAACAAGGAAGCCTCCTGGCAACAACTACCAGGCTACCGCTATGCAGATACCCTCACTGATTGACTTTGTAGCTGCAAGATAAGTCAATGCTAATCAAGCTTGAAAATTGCAACATCTGCACATGCTTCAAACAGACACGGGTTCTTTCTCCCGACCTGGACATTATTCCACAGATTGATATATATACACTGCACTGGCTTCACTGCAGCAGCACCTCTGAAGATACCGTTAGCTACAGATGCAGGTGAAATGTCAGGAGAGAATGCTGCTGGAACATGGCTATACAGCCTGGAAAACTCACACCAGCTCAGTCAATCCGGCCATGAAAGCCACCAACAACAGAAAGGTAACTTCTCAGCTACACAACAAACCCTCCCTCCCTCCTCTCTCTCTCTCATTGAGTCATTGTTCCAATTCTGTAATTGGAAAGGTAGCTCCTCAGCCCCACAGGAAACCCTTCCTCCTCCCTCTCATTGGAATGCAGTTAATAAGATAAGATAAAATCTCAATGATTGAGGATTGTGGGAGCTGAAGTCAGCTTTTGGGACACATTGCAATGGTGTTTCCCAAATGCTAAGGGTTGCTTACAACGGCTCTTGTTGCCAGTCTTTTCCGGACCATCGCTGACCTCAAACTGGACTGGAGGAAGAGGGGGAGGAGGGAGATGTGTTGCTTGGATGTCCTCAATGGGGCCTGCGGATGGAATGGGGACGTCCTTCTTCCTGGGAAGGTCCTTGCGGGTGAACCAGGTCAGGCGGCTGATCTGTTTGGAGGAAACAAAGAAGGATTTGCACCCGGCCCCCATTGAGCACCAAAGTTGAGAAACCACCCCAAAGCATTCCCCAACCTTGTATTAATCATTGGATTATGGCTCTGGGTTCTAATGCCTGATCAGCCACGGGAAGCCCTTCTGAACTAACTCCATAATAGGGTCACTGTGGGTTAGACATGGCATGAAGTCCCTTTCCAGCTCTGAGCGGTCAGCAGACATGTGGACAGCGCACCCTTTCCTGGGGCGGGGGCTCCGTCCAGAGGCTGACAGCCACCACCACCAGCAGCGAGACCAGGCTCAGGATCATGGAGAAGTAGAGGTAGTGGACGTCTTTGACCACCGCTGGACGCTGGTCTGGCTCCCCGCATTGTGGAGGCAGGAAGACAAAGTCCAGGACCATTCGGATGACCCCCATGACCATGCCCACCGTCAGGCCACAGAAGGCGCCCTGCGGAAAGAAGAGAGGGAGGGAAACAAGGAGGGAAGGAAACAAGAAAGGGAAAAAAAAGAAGGCAGGAAGGAAGATGGGGAAGGAATGAAGAAAGAACAAAGAAGGAAAGGGAGGGAGAAAGAGAAGAAAGAAGGAAGGAAAGAAAGAAAGAAAGAAAGAAAGAAAGAAAGAAAGAAAGAAAGAAAGAAAGAAAGAGTAGGAGGGAGGAATGAGAGGGAGGGAAGAAATAAATAAATAAAGAAAGAGAAAGAAAGAGAAAGAGAAAGGAGGAGAAAAGGAAGGAAGGAAGATGGGGAGGGAAGAAAGAAAGAAAAAAGAAGGAAAGGTAGAGAGGAAGAGAAGACAAGAGAAGGGAAGGGAAAAGAAAGAAAAAGAGAGAGGGAGGGAGGGGAAGAAGGAAGGAAGGAAGGAAGGAAGGAAGGAAGGAAGGAAGGAAGGAAGGAAGGAAGGAAGGAAGGAAGGAAGGAAGGAAGGAAGGAGAGAATGGTAGATGCCAAGTATGTTTAGAGGGAAGGAATGAAAGAGGGGAAGAAGGAAGGAAGGAAGGAAGGAAGGAAGGAAGGAAGGAAGGAAGGAAGGAAGGAAGGAAGGAAGGAAGGAAGGAAGGAAGGAAGGAGGAAATAAGGGAGAGAGGGAAGAAAGAACAAAAGAAAGACAAAGGAGGTGGAGGGAGGGAGGGAGGGAGGGAAGGAAGATGGGGTGGGAGGGAAGAAAGAAAGAAAGAGAGAGAGAGYAGGAAAGAAGGGAGAGAGGGAAAAATCTTGGGTCAGACTTCTGATCAAGCATAGGGACAACAGGTGGAAGCGGTCCCCAAGGGCCATCTAGTCCAACCCCGATTCTGCTAGGCAGGAACACCCTCCTTGGAGATGTCCACCCAGTCTTTAATCAAAGACCCTCCAAAGATGGAAATTCATTACTTTAACAAAAAAAGCTTTAGCATTGAAGAGAATGGGATAAAAATGGAAAAATCCCATTCCAAGGGTAGCACATCCTGTCCAAGTTGTATCCTCAAACTAGGATGCCCAAACTTGAGCCCTCCAGGTTGTTTGGACTCCGACTCCCAGAAGCCTCTGCTGCCTACTTAATCACGCTAGAGATATCTGGTTTCTGGCTCCTGCAGAATTCTGGGGTTTGTAGTTTGGTGAGGCTGTTAAAGGTTCCTCCCTACTTTGTACTTCATCAGTCAACAATCAGGGAGGCTGGGAGCTGAAGTCCAAAGAGAGACCAGTGTTTGGAAACTATGAAAGAAATGTCCATAGTGCTGAAGCCTATCCAAAGAAAAACTTGGTGGCTCTGCAAATCTGGAAGCCACTGACCCATCCCATTGGCTTGAACTGCTTCCTTGAGTGTAAAGGGGGAAGCGTACTTTTTCATTGGTCCGCTTCCAGAAGCAGCCCAGGATGAAGACCACGGCAACTGGAGGTTGCAAGTAAGAGCTGATGGTCTGGATGTAGATGAAGAGCTGTCCGCCTTGGCTGGCCTGTACCAGCGGGATCCACAGGATGGAGATGGCCACCAGCAGCAGCACAAACACCCTGTGGCCAAGCAACAACTATATATAATGGTATATAATGATATCATAATGTAATAATATAAAATTATTAAAAACCAAATGAACAAGTAATGATTTAAAAGTTACATTAGTGCACATTTCTTCCTAAGGAATTAGTATGAGTTTTGGCACAAGACCATGAGGATGATGCTGGTAGATTATACTATATAATAATAATAATAATAATAATAATAATAATAATAATAATAATAATAATAAATTACATTATTATATTCTGCTTTTGCTCCTAACTAACCACTCCATGGGACTGTAGATGGCTGGGACCAACAGGAAAGCAGAATAACATAAACCCTTGTGCTGGCAGGACTGAAGACCGACAGGTTGGAGGTTTGAATCTGGAGAGAGCGCAGATGAACTCCCCCTGTCAGCTCCAGCTCCCCATGCGGGGACATGAGAGAAGCCTCTCACAAGGATGGCAAAGCATCAAAACATTCAGGTGTCCCTGGGCAATGTCCTTGCAGACAGCCAATTTTCTCACACCAGAAATGACTTGCAGTTTCTCAAGTCGTTCCTGACATGGAAAAAACCCCACATTATTTGTATTATATTATCTTATTCTGCTCTCCTTTTGCTCCCAGCTAACCACTCCGTGGGACTGTGGTTGGTTACGAACAACAGGAGAGCAGGATGATACAATATATTATATTATATAATATAAATAATATAACATAATAATGCATAATATAAATAGATTACAACAATATAATATATATCATATAACATATAACAGTGTCAATGCACTCCCCAACAGTGGAATAAAGGTTATAGCCTTTGGGTGATGCTGACTCTCATTCCTCTGACCATTGCAAGGATGCCACTGTATGCACCTTTGCGGATGTAAATGCAGATACTGAACCTGGAATAAATGCATCCATCTACTGCGAAATCGCCCCTTGGGTTGCATAGTCTAGCCATGGCACTGCTTGCATTGCCGCCTTACCTGCCAACGACCATGAGCTCCCATTCGGAGGAGAGAGGCCGGAAGTGGCGCCAGAGGTCCATGGTGAAGATGGTGCTGGCGCTGTTGAAGATGGAGGTCAAGGAGGACATCAGGGCGGCCACCATCACCGACATCATCAGCCCCCGCAGCCCTGCAGAATGGAAGCCCAGACAAAGGACCGTCAGTCGGGGGGGAGGGGAAGCATTCACCAGTGCTATATTATTATTATTATTATTATTATTATTATTATTATTATTATTATTATTATCATTATTAGAAACACAAGATGAGTCCACAGCAAACAAGATCACTCTGCTGGCTGTTGTATTGGATCACACATCGGACACTTCCCAAGTTGTTGTTGTTGTTGTTATTATTATTATTATTATTATTATTTACCCCACTTTTCTCCCACATTTGTTCTCTTGTATGCCAATAAATTAAGCAATGGTTGTCTATCTCCATTGTGGCATATGAGGCCAAGGTAAGATCCTAGAGGTGGAAGAGACCCCCAAGGGTCCCATTCTGCCAAGCAGGAAAGCACAATCCGATCCCTCCCAATAGATGACGATCCTAACCTCATAGACATGAAAAGATTCCTGGAGAGAAATCAGTTTTTAGAACCATAGAATCCTAGACCAGGAGGAAACTCCAAAAGTCATCCAGTCCAGACCCATTCTGCCATGCAAGCACAATCTAAGCCCTCCCAACAGATGGCCATCCAGTTCCTGCTTAACAATATTATGATAATAATAGAATCATAAAATCTTTGAATCTCTGCCAGGCAGGAAAAGCACAATCAAAGCCCTCTTGATAGATGGCCATCCAGCCCTTAGATAATAATAATAATAATAATAATAATAATAATAATAATAATAATGTTGGAAGGGACCTGAAGGCCATCAAGTCAAACCCCATTCCGCCAGACAGGAAAAGCACAATCAAAGCCCTCCTTGACAGATGCCCATCCAGAGCCTGCATAATAATAATAATAATAATAATAATAATAATAATAATAATAATAGAATCCTAGAATTGGAAGGGACCCCAAGACCATCTAGTCGAACCCCATTCTGCCAGGCAGGGAAAGCACAATTAAAGTCCTCCTGACAGATGCCCATCCAGTCCCTGCTTAATAACAATAATAATAATAATAATAATAATAATAATAATAATAATAATAATAATAGAATCCTAGAGTTGGAAGGGACCCCAAAGACCATCCAGTCAAACCCCATTCTGTCAGGCAGGGAAAGCACAATCAATGTCCTCCTGACAAATGCCGATCCAGTCCCTGCTTAATAATAATAGTAATAATAATAATAATAATAATAATAATAATAATAATAGAATCCTAGAGTTGGAAGGGACCCCAAAGGTCACCCATTCCAACTCCATTCTGCCAGGCAGGAAAAGCACAATCAACGCCCTCTTGACAGATGGCCATCCAGGCTGTTTATAGAACCCTAGTGTTGGAAGGGACCCTGAAGGCCACCCAGTCCAACCCCATTCTGCCAGGTGAGGAGTCACCATCCAAGCCCTCCCGACAGATGGCCATCCTGGCTTGTGTTCCCTCCTTCCCAGGAAATGCCCACAGCTTCCCCCCATTCCCTTCACCGATCGGCAGGAGCTCAATGACCAGCTTGGGATAGGCGATGTCGGAGCAGCCGGCAGGGTTGTTGCAGATGCGTCGGCAGATTTCCGGATCGGCGCAGGCAACCAGATCTGCGAGGAGATGGGAACACAAAACAAAGAGGACCAGGAACTTATTTGTGGTGGGAATGACCTCCGTGGCCCTAAAGGTCAAGGCGCCTGACCCTTTGGGATCTGGGGAATCCACATAAGATAACTTTACTGCAAAATCCCAATGGTTGCAAACTCCTCTGTCTTGGGGTCTCACCTGGGAAGAGGATGCGGCTGATCATGCCAGGGAAGACCATCATGAAGAGCGGCAGGATCTTCAGGTAGGAGGCCAAGAGAGCCCCCCCTTTGGCGTGGGGCAGGCTCTTGGCCGCCAGGGACCTCTGCACAATGACCTGCCGGAAAAGGAGAGGCCTATTAGAAAGGGTTTGGGTCTCCCGTTCCCTTCTTTGCAAACATGCAAACCCTCCTCCCATTTCTCTATCTAGGTTTTTAAGACGGCTACAGATGATGGTCCTATTTATGCTCCTAATATCATTGTTCTATTGATGCAATGATACTGACATCTGCTCCCAAAGTTATGGCATGGTCCTATCAATGTCATGATATCAACATGGAAAATGGTCCTGTTAACATTATTAACATGGAAAGGGCTGCAAGCAATAAGATACACTCTGAATATCATGGCAAGGTCCTTTTAATGCATCACGTTGATACTGGGAGGGTTGGCAAGCAATAGGATCTCCTTGCAGCATCAGGGCACGGTATTATTGCTCTTATGGCATTAAACCTGGGCCCGATCCCATTGCAAACCCATGGAAGGAGGCTCTACCTGGTCCGTGCACCAGTACCACAGGGAAGGGATGGTCATCCCCACCAGGACCCCTGGCCAGGGAAGGTCGGAGGTCACCGGGTCCCGGAAAATGTGGAAGGAGTCCTCCCTGGGCAGCCCGCAAGTGCTGTTCTTGTCCCGGTTAGTAGTGATCGCCTGGAAGTACCGCTTCTGCAAGTCATCCAGCCCTCCGACTTTGGCAAAACCTAGGAAGGCAGAGGGGAAGTCAACACAATCCAATCCCTCCTGACAGATGGTCATCTGACCTCATAGTCAGATGGCCAAGATTCATAGAAATAGGGCTTTCCATTTCTAGAGTTGGAGGGAAACCCAAAGGTCATCCAGTCCAGCTGCCTTCCACCCAACAGATGATCATCCAACCTCTTAATGGTTCATAGAGAAACAGGGCTTCAGAGGAAACCCAAAGGCCATCCAGTTCAGCCCCAATTTGTCAGACAGGAAAGCACAATCCAATCCTTCCCAACAAATGATCATCCAACCTCATAAAGGTTCATAGAGAAATAGAGCTTCAGAATCCTAGATCTGGAGAAAACCCCAAAGGTCATCTAGTCTAGCCCTTGTCTGCCAGACAGGAAAGCACAATCCAATCCCTGCCAACAGATGACCATCCAATCTCATACACGTTAAAAGATTAATGAAGAGAAATAGGGCTTTCAAATCCTAAAGTGGGGGAAACCACAAATGGCCATCCAGTCCAACCCCCTTCTGCCATGCAAGCACAATCAAAGCCCTCCTAACAAATAGCCATCCAACCTCAGGTTCATAGAGACATCAGCCCTTAGAATCTTAGAAATGGAGAAAACCCCAATGGCCACCCAGTCCAACCCCCTTCTGCCATGCAAGCACAATCAAAGCCCTCTTAACAGATGGCCATCCAACCTCATAGATATTGGAAGGTTATGGGGAGAAATAGGGATTTAAGATCATAGAACAGAGGAAGCCCCAAAGGCCACCCAGTCCAGCCCCCTTCTGCCAGACAGGAAGACACAACGGAAGCTCTCCCAACAGATGGCCATCCAACCTCATAAAGGTTCATAGAAAAATAGGGCTTCAAAATCATAGAGCGGGAGGAAATTCTAAAGGCCAGCTACCTCAGCCCCATTCTGCCAAGCAGGAAAGCATAATCAAAGCCCTCCTGACAGATGACCATTTGATCTCTATTTAAAAAGAAAGAGACTCCAAGGCACTCTATTCCACTGTGAAATTCCCTTCCCCAAATTTCCCAATCGGACTAGGATTCTCGAGACAAACGTTTTCAAGTACATTCCATATATTCTACTCTCTTTATTGCCCTGAATAAAAAGCCTCCCTCCTCAAAGGCACTCACTGAATCCCATGAGGGTCAGTGCTCCGGCCAGCATGATGACCGTCTGCAGGGTGTCTGTATAGATGACCGCCGCCAGACCACCTGCAGAGAGACCGGAAAGAAATGGGAAAGGCTTATGTTGGGGTCTGGGGAGAGTTGTGGGTCTGCAGAAACCATATAAAGCTCTATAAACCAGGGACAAAATCCATGGGTCAAGGTCTGGACTGAGCCGGACCAATGTCCACATACATCTTGTCTTCCCTTGACCATTCCATATTGCTTTATGTCCTCTTTCTCCTCCAAAGTCAGTTATTCTATGCTACACTTTTGCTAGAAAGGCTGTCTTAGGGGTCTTTTGCCATTAGGGCTACCACCTCCCCATATAGAGAACCAAGGTCTGGGGAAATAATAATAATAATAATAATAATAATAATAATAATAATAATAATAATAATGATGTAACAACAAATGATAATAATAATATAATAATGTAATAATAATAATAATAATAATAATAATAATAGGCTTAACCAGCTCCTCTTTGCCAAATGCCTAGCAGGCAATAATAATGTCGAGGGAAGGTCTATGTCTTTAGAATCATAGAATCCTAGAGTTGGAAGAGATCTCATGGGCCATCCAGTCCAACCCTCTGCCAAGAAGCAGGAAAATCATGTTCAAAGCAGCCCCAACAGATGGCCATCCAGCCTCTGTTTAAAAACCTCCATAGAAGGAGCCTCCACCACACTCCGGGGCAGAGAGTTCCAATGTTGAACAGCTCTCACAGTCAGGAAGTTCTTCCTAATGTTCAGATGGAATCTCCTGTCCTGTAGTTTGAAGCCATTGCTCTGCGTCCTAGTCCTAATATATATGTTTTAATGTGTATTAATTAAAGAGATAAAAGCAGGATAAAAATAAATATTGACAGCATCTATGTTGTATCCTGCCTTCAGCCATAATAATAATAATAATAATAATTGTATTATCGAAGGCTTTCATGGCCGGAATCACTGGGTTGTTGTAGGTTTTTTGGGGGCTATATGGCCATGGTCTAGAGGCAATCTCTCCTGACATTTCGCCTGCATCTATGGCAAGCATCCTCACTACCTCTGAGGATGCTTGCCATAGATGCAGGCAAAACGTCAGGAGAGAATGCCTCTAGACCATGACCATATAGCCCAAAAAAACCTACAACAACCCAATAATAATAATAATAATAATCATCATCATCATCATCATCATCATAGTAGTAATAATAATAATAGCAATAAAACAACAACAATAATAATAATAACATATGAGGATGATGATAGGCTTAACCAGCTCCCCTTTGCCTTCAACCTTGAAGGGATAATAATAGCAATAATAATAATAATAATAATAATAATAATAATAAAACAGCAATATTATTATTATTGCTATTATTATATTATTGCTATTCTATTCTTATTCTTATTCTTATTATTCTTATTCTTCTTATTATTATAATTATTATAGCCATAATATAATAATTATAATAGCAATAATAATAATAATAATAATAATAATAATAATAATAATAATAATAATAGAATAGCAATAATAATAGAATAGCAATAATAATAATAACATAGAAATAATAATAATATATTTATGGTAGGATCCCATGTCCGAGAGGCAGTGAACCCACCCCAGGTATTATTCCAATCTTGGAGAGGACTTCAAAACTTGGACTGGATTGACTGCCCCACTGGCATTAATTCATAGAGTTTGAAGGGGTACCCAGAGGCCATCTAGTCCTACCCTCTTCCATGAAAGAATAGAGGGCCAAAGACAGACATCCAATGGGACAATTCACCATTTAAAGGCTACCAAAGCTGAGCAGTGGACTCTTCACACACACACACACACCCAAATACTTGGGTTCAGACCTACCTGCCACGGTGTAAATAGCCGTGATGACCAGCAAGCCGATGACCGCCACATAGAGGTCCCAGTGCAAGGCCTGCTGGATGAACAGGGCCCCCGCGTACATGTCGACCTGGAGGATGAGACGAGGGCATTGTTGCATTATTGCAGCTCATCCTTAGTCTAGAATTTTCAAAGACTGAATGCTAAGCGGTCAGGGGAAAAAGGAAAGGGCCTGAGGCTGTTAGGAATTGTGGGAGCTGAAGTCCAAAACATTTGGAGGTCCAAAGTTTGCCCATGCCTGGGACAAAACATGCTTTTTCATTGATTTTTTTTCATTGATGGAATGACACAACACAAAGGGCACTAAAGGTCAGATTTGATTCCCCCACATGCCCTGTGCAATATATATATTATATATATTTATATATAATATAGGTAAAGATGAGACCCTCATCTCGGCCATACAATTCCATTGACAAGTCACAGTCTCTCAGCCTCACAGCAACGAAGTCTTTGCAGAACAGACTCCATTGCAGATTTTCCTTTCCTCCTTGCCTCTCTTGGTCTACCACAGCCCCCCATGATATATGCAAATATATGCAAAGGTATGCAAATATATGTAAATATCAGGCCTAAGTGGGACCTACTCTTTCCAAGCCAGTTCTGTTCTGTCTCCTCTCGCCGTCTCCTTACTTACTGAGATTTTGGTGAATATATAGATAAACAAGTAGAGGATGGCTAAGAAGATCTGGATCCGTTTGCCGCCAAAGCGCCGCTGCAAGTACTCCGGCATGGTGGTCACCTGGAAATGATGATGGTGTTGATAATGATGATGATGATGATTATTATTATTATTAATTTATTACCTGTCTCTTCCTGTACTCTTGAGGCAGGATACAACATCGTTAAAATAAGACATAAATCACTATTAAAAGACACCAAACAATTCAGTGGTAATGATGGTGCTCATGCAGCTCAAAGGTGGTAATTGCAACCTAGTAAGTAGCAGTTGCACCAGTGTAACTCAATAGCGGTGATTGCACGACAGTATCTTAGCAATTGAACACATGGTGCAACTCCCACAGTTATGCTGATGTAATGCAGCAGTTGTATTTGGACTCAAATATTTCAGCAGCAGCAAATGCATTCCAATAATTCAGCAGCAGAAATGAAGCTCAAAGTGATTCAGCAATTGTTGTGCTCATGTAACTCAAGAGGCGTAATTGCACTCAAATAACTCAGCAGTTGCCTTTGCACTCAAGTAATTCAGGAGTAGCTGAAATTAATAATAATAATGGCTTCAACAACAACAACAACAACAACAACAACAACATAGACTAATATCTTTTTTTCATAGTGCCTTAGTGTCTAGGTTTTTAAGCCTTTTCCTGAGGTATTCGATTCAGAAAATTGCATTGAATATACCACATTGGCTCCAGTTTCTTAGATATTATAATTATTGTGGTTTTCTATAGGCAACTAATAGATGGCATATGGTCTGTATCTCAAAAGCTAAGCTGATAGGGGAAAACTGGTGCCATTTTTGCAATCAGCAACTGCAAAAACTGCAGACACAAGACTAACAATGAAGGTACCAAAATGTGTGTTGGGCAGTGTTATTATTATTATCAGTAATAACAGCACTCATGTCTCGTTGTTCCTCTATGAAATGTTAGGAAACTTGACATGACCCTGAGAAGCGCCCGTCCCCATTCTCCGACCCCTCTGTCCTCTACATCCATGTAAACAGGAGTCCAAATTGAGGTTCTGTTGGCATTCAAACCAGATTGTTGGCTCATTTGAAATGTACCCTATTGCTGTAAGGAGTAAGTATGTAAGTAAAGACTGAGTACTCACCCCGGCTGCGATGTAGATAGGAAGGAACAGCCAGGCCATCACCAAGACACAGAACATGCCCTGAGGAAGGAAACAATGGCCACATCAGAGGGAAAGCCGGTGCCAGGATGCTGCTTTGGGAGCCAGGACTCACCCTCCACTCTGCTCTGCACTAGGTTCACTTAAAAAGATATAAATATATATCACAAAGAAGGTTCCAACTACCCCATTCAGATTTAATGGGTAGTCCTAAGTGCATCTGTTGTGAAGGTAGAAAGGAGAGTAAACCACACACAACACCCCTGCTAGGTAGACACATTAATTTCTCCTCTCATGGCCTCTTTCAGCTGCGCAATGGGACGGAGTGTCTCAAAGTCAAGCAGTTACTTCTGATCCAAAACACTGCAGAGTCTTGGTCACAGCAGAGATTTTATAGCACAGCCTGTGACCTTGGACAGTAGCTCACTGCTTGAATAAGCACACTTGATCTTTGGCTTTCATCCACACACCTTTGGGGGTTTATTCTTCTGTCACTGCTATATACAACTGTTTACATGTCTACTATCAGTATACAGAGATACTCACAACCATAGGAAGACACTCAAACAATGAAGATGGTGATGGATTGCAGATGAAGAGAGATCATAGCAAGCTATCTAAGATGGCAGAGAACATTTCTCCCTCCAGGGAGAAAAAAAACTAGCAGCTTTGCTTTTCTTAACCCTACAGTGGACTGTGTTGTGAACACATGTGCATTAGAATTGTATTTTTCCACACTGGAGGTCTATGCAATGCATTCCTATCTAATACAGCATTTTTTTACCTGACAGCATCAAGCTTGCATGGACATCAAATAAGGATTTCTCTGTTGCAGAAAAATAGCAACAACAACACCTTGAAGTTCTTGGCTGAAAGATTGCTTCTAAGGTTTGAGAAATGGTCTAACTTTAATCACCTTGTGTTCAACATCCGGAGCCAAGGTTCGAGTCTTAGACTATGACTCTGGAAACCTGGGTTCGAATCCCCACTTAAGCATAGAAAGCCATTTGGTGACCCCTGGGCAAGTCGCATTAGCCATAGGGGAAGGTAAGGTCAACCCCTCCCTCTTTTGAACAAATCTTGACAAGAAAACTCACCATAACTTGGAAATTACTTGAAAGCACACAATGACAACAATCCCCGAATAAGTAGTTTACACTTTAGCCTGAAAGTTCACAGATACAGAGGTGCCTGGGAATTATACAGAATGATGGGCTTTGCAGTTTGCTGAGCCACTAGCCCTATGCAGAAGAGAAGGCTAAAAATCTTGACAAATTATTGGTACTGTATTGGTTTTATTGTGAGCCGCTTTGAGTTTCTTTTTTTAGATAATAATAACAACAACAACAAGATCCCAAGTGTAAACTCTGCAAGGAAGCAGAGTTTACATTAGAACGTATGCCATCAAAGCCAGAATTGAAAAGTTGACGACCGATCCCACGTGTAGACTCTGCAAGGAAGCAGATGAAAGAATAGATCACATCCTAAACTGCTGCAAGAAGATTGTGCGGACAGACTACAAGCAGAAGCATAACACCGTTGCTCAGATGATTCATTGGAACTCTTTGTCACAAATACCATCTGCCTGCGGCAAAGAACTGGTGGGATCACAAGCTGGAAAAAGTTACAGAGAATAAACACATCAAACTACCCTGGGACTTCCGAATTCAAACTGACTGAGTTTTGGAGCACAATACTACTGACCTCATGATCGTGATTAAATTAAACCAAGTATGGATCATCGATGATGCAATCCCAGGCAACAGCAGGATTGAAGAGAAACAACTGGAAAAGCTGACACGATACGAGGATTCAAAGATCGAACTGCAAAGACTCTGGCACAAGCCAGTCAAGGTGGTCCCAGTGGTGATTGGCACACTGGGTGCAGTGCCTAAAGACCTTGACTGAAATACAATTGCCGCTGACAAAATTACCATCTGTCAGTTGCAAAAGGCCACCCTACTGGGATCTGCACACATTATTTGCCAATACATCACACACTTGGAAATGTATCCTAGACACTTGGGAAGTGTCCGACGTGGGATCCAATACAACAACCAGCATAGTGAACTTGTTTGCTGTGTAATAATCTTGTTGTGTTTCCAATAATAATAATAAGGTTCCCATGATCCCACAGCATTGTGCCACGGCAGTTAAAGGGGTGCCAAATCACATTAATTGTACAATATAGATGCACTCAGAGTCTTATCCATAGGATAAAATAAGCTGGATTCTATCACTTGCCAAATGGGAATGCTGGAATCTATCAATGAAAGGGCTGCAATGTCTTTTCTGCATCATTGGCTGCCACTAAATTTGACTTTTTTGCCAGGGCCAGGCACTCAATTGAAGCGCAGCTTTCGGATAAAGCAGGCAGGAGTCCATGAAACCACGCGCCCCATAAAAGGTGTTTCGGGTGATGCAATGGTATCTTTTTGTTGTTGTTTTTTTTCCCTGGAACAAAGTGAATGGGGAGAGAGATTCAAGAGCCACTCAGAGGTTGAGTAATGGATCAAAGGGCATAAGCAGCCTTTGCCAACTGGGTTCGGAGCGAGTAGCAACATGCCCATTGGCACCCAAGAAGCACATCCCGAACATGAGGCGATGCAGCTAACAAAGGGCATGGCTTCAATACATCTCCTCCAAGGCCACACTGCAAACAGATACAGACTAGACTCCTATCAAAGACATATGCTGGCCTCAATTCAGTTATACCAGCATCAAATAGCAACATGGAGTAAGCAGTGAGGCCTTCTGCAATGCACAACATCCCAAATGGGCAAAAGCATTCAAGGAGACCAATGCCAAAGGGGCAGAGCACTAGATGGAAACCCAGAACAATGTGAAAAGAGGCACTCGAAACCTTCTTCCACAATGCTCATAAAGTGCCATATTGTTGTTGCAAACCCATAATATTGTGCAAAGAGGTATTGGATATCTTCTTCTGCAATGCCCATAAAATGGCATATTGAACTAGAAGCCTCCTCCTGGCCATTTAGTGGCCAATTTCTCGAACATTTTGTGTCATTAGAAATGGAAGACCTGGAAAAGACTAGCTGCCGCAAGACCAACCACCTGCTCCCTCGATCCTTGCCCCTCCCGGTTGGTTAAGGAGTGCTGGGAGGGACTACGAGATCCCTTAAAGAACATCATCAACAGCTCCTTGGAGCAAGGAATTTTTCCAGATTGCCTTAAAGAAGCAGTGGTCCACCCTCTCCTGAAAAAACCAAGCCTTGATGCTGCCATACCTAGTAACTATCGCCCAGTTTCAAACCTTCCGTTCCTGGGCAAGGTGATTGAACGGACAGTGGCGGGGCAGCTACAGCAATTCTTAGATGAGACTGCGGGTTTGGACCCCTTTCAATCAGGCTTTCGTTCAGGTCATGGGACAGAGACTGTCTTGGTAGCTATTATTGACAAAATTCGTCATCAGTTAGACCGAGGCGGATCAGCGCTATTGGTACTCTTGGACCTCACAGTTGCATTTGACACCGTGGACCATGACTTGCTGATTCATCGATTGGCTCTGTCTGCTGTATGAGGTTTAGCCCTCAAATGGTTCAATTCATTCCTCTGGGACCGAAGACAGAGGGTGGAGTGGTCAGGCCAAAGCTCTGAGAGCTCCGGCCTTTGCTGTGGAGTTCCCCAGGGTGCTATCCTCTCGCCCCTGTTATTTAACATCTACGTCCGACCACTTGCTGGACTGGTGCGGAGCTTTGGCATAGAGTGCTACCACTATGCAGATGATACCCAGCTACTCTTGCGTCTCGAACCTGGGACAACCGCGATTCCTGAGAACTTTAAGCTGTGTTTGGAAGCAGTGATGAGTTGGCTACGAGCAAGCAGACTAAAAGTCAATCCTGCAAAAACTGAGATACTCTGGCCCGGCCAGCCGCCAGAATTAACCCAGTCTCTGCCTGATTTCGATGGGGAAGCTCTGGTTCCATCTGTTGCAAACCCATAGCAATGTGCAAAGAGGCACTAGATACCTTCTTCCATAGTGGCCATAAAATGGTATATTGTTGTAGCATCCCCAAGCATGAGGTGATGCACCAGCAAAGGGCATGAGCTCATTGTTTAAGAGGGAAAGTGCCCCATAAAGAAAGGCCAACTCACATTCCACTCGTAGGCCGTGGCTGCGATGCCCGACGCTGCCCCGGAGCCGGCCAAGCCGATGAAGTGCCCACTGCCCACATTGCTGGCAAACAGGGAAGCTCCCACCTGTCGGAAAGGAGAACCAGTTCAGACTGCAATGCCCTTAAAATGGCATATTAATAGCATTGTGCAAAGAAGCATTGGGTACCTTCTTCTGTAATGCCCATAAAAGGACATATTTATAGGATTGTGCAAAGAGGTACTGGATACCTATTCCTGCAATATATCTTTTGCAAAAGACATATTGTTGTTACAAACTCATAACATTGTGCAAAGAGGCACAGGATACCTTTTTCTGCAATGCCCATAAAAGGACATATTGATTGCGTTGTGCAGTGAGGCACTGGATATCTCCTTCTGCAATATGTCTTCTGCAAAAGACATATTGTTGTTGCAAACTTGTAGCATTGTGCAAAAAAGCACTGGATATCTTCTTCTGCAATGCCCATAAAAGGACATATTGATTGCATTGTGCAAAGAGGCACTGACTACCTTCTTTTCCAATATGTCCTCTGAAAAAGACAAATTGTTGTACACTCATAGCATTGTGCAAAGAGGCACTGGATACCTTCTTTTGCAATATGTCCTCTGCAAAAGACATATTGTTGCACACTCATAGCACTGTGCAAACAGGCACTGGATACCTTCTTCCGTAATTGTTATAAAAGGGCATAATGGGGGTGTATACTCCCCTGACAAAGCATGCCAACAAAGACCCTTATTCTACTACCCTCAAATGGGTTCCTGACAATTGGAAACGACTTACCGGCCACCAGACCATCTCTCCTCCAGCTAGGAAGTAGCCCTTCACGGTGCTCCGCTTGGTCTTCCACATGGACTGCGGGAAACATAGAGCAGGGTCAAGATGGAAGGCATCATGGGGAATCTCAAAACAACTCCCACATTGGGAAACTGGGAGACCTAGAATGGCTATGAGCATTGGACTACCCCTTTCCATTGCCTATGGAAACTCGGATGTCAGAACCATCTCCCATCCAAGTCCTTACCAGGACTGACCCTCTTTAGCTTCCTGGAGCCTTTTAAGGCACAGCTGGGCTCCAGTTCCATCAAATACAGTGAACAGAGAGGGATGTTGTGATCCAGCTGCCTCTCTGAATATATGTGTGCATTCAAGTCCACGATAATCTTAGGCAGTATCATTACATATTCTAGAAGGGGATGATATTTTGGGAGGGACTATGGTCCCCAGCATTCTCAACCATACTGTGGATTATGGGGAGTACAGTCTCTCCCAAAATCTAATGGTTCCCCAATTGGAGCATTACCGAAACTGGGGAGTTTTTTTTAAAAAGGGGGACTACAACTGCCATAATCCATCCCAATGAGATGTGTGATGGATTATGGAACATGTAGTCCCCCAAACTTATTTTCAGAGAGGGAGAAAGAGCTTCCTTACCCAAAGCCCAACGCCCAAGACGAAGACGAAGTACAGGACCAAGACAGCGATGTCCACAGCCTCCAGGTTCTTCTGGGGAAAGGCGTCCCATTGTCCAGTGCTGTCCGTAGGGGCCAAAGTGGTGCCACTGGCCTCCATGGCTCCTGGGTGCCTTTACTTCCCAATACACTTATCTGGCCCAAAGAGATAGGGATTACAAAGGGCCTGGTTCCCTAGGAGACATTGTTGGCCAAATATGTGCCCTGCTTTGACTTTGGGACCAACCCAGGAAAGAAAGGGCCCAAGGCAAGCAAGGGTCAGGTGGCCCAAGTGCTTGTTTGTCCAGCGGGAAGAGAAACAGCCAGGTTCCGGGGAGAGAGCCAAGGGCAACATGACAGATCAACCGCCGGAAAGAAAGAGTGGGGTTTTGGGGGCAGGACTTGCAAGGAAAGGAGGCCTGCAGAGTGTGCAAAGATTCCCCCAAATCCAAAAATGTATTCAGCCATTCACTGCCTTGGCTGTTTTGCTAGATCCGTAGCATCGGCAAGGTGCATCTGCACCGCAGGAGGAATGCATGATGGCACTACTTTGATGCTATTTCAAGCCTGGGAGGTGTAGTTTCACAAGGTCTTTTGCCTTCTATGCCCAAAGGGTTGGTGCCTCCCAAACTACAACTTCCCAGCAATCCACAGCACTTGGCCATGGCATTGAAGGCGGCTTCAAACTGGTATCCCATGCAGGGAATGGCCAGACCCAGCCCTGCCTAGCACCCAAAATTATAAGAGATATAAGAAACAACAACGATGCAAATAACTTGGATGCTTCCACTCAGGAAACAGCCAGACCCAACTTAGCATCCAAAACTAAGAGTCTTCTTCCAATCCTTTCCCTGGAGTCTCCCATTTGGAAAGCAGCCAGGTCCAGCCCTGCTTAACATCCAAAATCAAAACCACAATAATAATAATAATAATAATAATAATAATAATAATAATAATAATAATAATAATAATAATACAACCTGCGTACCTCACATTTAGGGATCAACCATTCCCTGTTTGGATCAAAAACCCAAACCTGAAGATGTCATAATAACAATAGCAACAACAACAACATAAGTTTGGCACAGCTTTCTCAATCTGATGGGATCCTGGGGTTTGTAGTTTTGGCAGAGTAGGCCTTGGGAAACTACAACTCCCACGACTCCGTAGCATTGAGGCATGGCAGGGAAAGCATCTTGAGCTCAGTATCCACGCCAATCCAGTATTCACACCAATTGTTGTTGTTGTTGTTGTTGTTGTTGTTGTTGTAGACAGGAGTTTTCCTCAATTCAACAATCTCATTCAAGGATCAGCCAAGGTTCTGCCCTGCTTTGCACCCAAAACCAGAAACAAAAAAGCTTCAACAATAATGATAATGATAATGATAATGATAACAGATGGCAGTCCTCCTCCTCCCTGGGTTTCCCATTCAAGGATCAGACAGTTCCAACCCTGCATAGCACCCCAAACTAGAAGAGACGGGGCACCTGTCCAGACCCTTCCTTGGAGCCAAAGATGAGAAAGGACACTCACGGTCAAGGGGTCACCTCCAGCCAGGCCAGGAAGGAGTGAAACTCCCCGAAGGAGTCCTCTGCCGAGGGCAAGTTCCCCAGGAGCGGACAAACGGGTTTGCCTCCTTGACTGAAGGGTGCTCCTGGCTGCAGGATGGGGCCAGGCTTGCAGCCAAACCTCTCCTTGTGTCATTTCCCAATTGGCTTCAATCCCATTCAAGTGGCAGGAAGTTCCCCTGGCACAACAGGTCCACCTGTGTGCCATCCTCCATGGTGCAGATACCGGTCTCAGGGTACTTTCCCTGCCATGCTTCATGCTACGGAGTTGTGGGAGCTGTAGTTTCCCAAGGTCTCTGGCCTTCTCTGCCAATCTACAAATCCCAGGATCCCATTGCATTGAGAAAGCGGTGCACAAACTCCATCCAGCCAAGGAAGGCAAAGGTCTTGTAAAAATTACAACTTCCAGGTTTCCATGAAATTGAACAAGTAGTGAAAGTGGTGTCAAACCGGTATTAACCCCATAGTGTAGATGCCCCCAGTGCTTTCCCCGCCCTAAACAACCACCCAGTTGAAGCAAACCGGTCTGTTTGTTGTGGGACAAATCACACATCAAGGGGAATGTTTATCCCCTGCAAATAATCTGTTTTCTTTCCTGTAGAGAGGTCTTTCCTTATAGGAGTGGTTTCCAACCTTTTTTTGACCAGGGACCACTTGACCAGGGATCACTTTGACCAAGGACCACTCTACAACAATAGTACCAAAAAGGTTGCGAATCATTTTTTGCTCAACTTCAGGATTGGTTTGGTTATTTGGGGTGCTGATTCAGAAAATCGCATTGGATAGACCACATCAGCTCTAGTTTCTGATAAAGAACATATGCCACCCAGTAGTTGCCATCTACTTGCCCACAGAAAACCATATTTAATAAGCCTCGGCACTATAAGAGGGTTTCAGTGTAGTAACTGTGAGGCCACGGACCATATTTTAGTTCTTGCAGACCACTGATGGTCCACAGACCACAGGTTGGGAACCACTGCCTTATAGACACAACCCAGCAAGCAGATTTGCAAAGTGAGCCCAGGTTTGCCAATGCAGTCTTTAATGCAAGAGGCACAAAATGCAAGGGATGTAGGCAAAAGCAACGGACTGTACTATGACAAACAGAAGCCGTTTGCTAATTTGAGGAATATATTTGCAAATCAAATCAAATAAAAAGTGTTCTTAACTACAGTTGGACTTTTCTGATGGAGAAAGAGACAATGCAAATTATTCCAAATGCAGAATACAGAGATGCTTTGAATCTCTTTTAAGAGAGGGAAGTGGTATATGATAACAATAATAATAATAATAATTCCTAGACACTTAGGAAGTGTTCGACTTTTGATCCAATACAACCAGCATAGTGATCTTGTTTGCTGTGTACTAATCTTGTTGTGTTTCAAATAATAATAATAATAATAATAATAATAATAAGGGGCTAGCACCTGCTATGACAGATCTTTCACACCAAATAAAATAAAATAAAATAGGCGAAACACAGACTGACTGTTTTGATATAGGCAGTGATCACCGATATGGACAAAGCATGCTAAATGCAGATACATAGCTGTTTTAGGTCTTATTTAAGAGAGAAGCAAAATAGAAATATACTAAAAATAGTAAGAATAACAGAGGGCAATCGTGTGCTATGACAAACAAGAAGGCTTTCGCCAACTTGGAGCACAGCTCTGCAAATACAACACAATATAATAGTACTTAACACAGTTGAACCTTTCTGATACAGGCAGTAATATAAAGAATGCTAAATGCAAGATGCCCAGGTGAGGGCAATTGTATGCTATGAGAAACAGAGGCCTTTCCTGCATTTGGAAAGGACCTTTACCCCAAGATCAAATGCTGAGCACTTCGTACAGGATGTCCCAGGTGCCACCGAAGGACTCACCTGTCGGCGCCGAGGCCGTTTTTGGCCCTCCATCTCCACCTGCAAGAAGAAGAGCAACACTCCTCTCGGCTTGCAGCCTCCAAGCGATGGAAAACTTGGCCATTTTGTGGATTCAGAGCACAGCCGGCTCAGTTTCCTCCTTGGCACAAAGGCTTGGGGGCGGGAGGCCGGAGAACAAGAGGGGCATTGAAGCGGAGGAGCCGTGGAAAGTGGCAACCCAAAGCCCATTGTTGCCTGCCAGGGAGCCTGGACTGGGTGGCCCTTGGAGTCGCTTTGAAGCCTATGATGCTGTGATGCTATGAAATCGATGCTTTTCAAAGCTCTGGGCCTGGATGGACACATCTGGACCCTGGATGGGACCTCCAAAGTCCATCTGGCCCAACCTCTTTCTGAAATGAAGGAAAATACAACCTGATCCCTCCCAACAGATACCCATTCATCCATCCAGAGAAGGGGATTCACCAGACTTGTCCAATAGATTGATGTATGGATGGATGAATAATACTGGATGGGAACCCTATAGGCCATTCAGCTTGACCCTTTCTGCCAGACAGAAAGACACCATCCAAACCCTCCTGACAGATGGTAATCCAGCCTCTGTTTAAAGGCCTCCAGAGAAGGGAAATCTTTAATTGCAAAACAAGGTAGGGCTAGATGGCAATATATTATAGAATCTGAGAGTTGGAAGGGGTCTCCCAAGGGCCATTTAGTCCACCCCACCCCCTTTTGCAATTAAGGACTATACAACCCGATCCCTCCTGATGAATACTCATCTAGCCATCCAGAGGGAGAGATTTATCAGACTTGTCCAATAGACTGATGTATGGATGCATGGGTGGGAGGCAATCCAGAACAACCTTTTCTGTGAGACTGAAAGATAGAATCCAAAGCCTCCTGACAGATGGCCCTAGAATCATAAAATCGTTGAATCCTAGAAACGTCAGGGTCAGCCCCCTTCTATCAGGCAGAAATATACCATCCAAGTCCGCTTGACAGATGGCCATCCAGCCTCTGTTTTAAAGGCCTCCAGAGAAGGAGAATCCACCCCTTCCTAAGGCAGTATTTTGTATTATTATATAAAATCTGAGAGTTGGAATGGGGCCCCCAAGGGCCATCTTGTCCAACCCTTTTCCGCAATGAAGGAAGATACGACTCGATCCCTCCCAACAGATGCCCATCCAGCCTTTGTTTAAAAACCTCCAGAGAAAGAGATTTTACCAGACTTGTCCAATAGATGGATGGATGAATAACATTAGATGGGGCCCTAGAGGCCATCCAACCCAACCCTTTCTGCCAGATAGGAAGATACCACCCAAACCCTCCTAACATATGCCTCTGGTTAAAGACCTCCAGAGAAGGAGACTGAGGGTCCTTCTTCACAGCCATATCACCCAGAATATCAAGGCAGAAAATTCCACAATATTTGCTTTGAACTGAGTTATCTGAGTCCACACTGCCATATATTCCAGTTCAAAGCAGAAAATGTGGGATTTTATTCAGTTGTGTGGGAGGGTCCCTCAGACTGCACTGCCAAACAGCTTTCAAACTTTGCAAACTTTTTTGTTAACGTTCGAGTCCATTCTAACGATGAGAAGAAGCCCAAATTGGAGATGAGACTCACCCTCTTTGGTGCCACCGACTGCTTACTGATCCTTGCATTGGCTTAAATAATTGTGGGGAAAGTGTGAATTTTATAGCCGGAACGGTCGCATTCCTGGTGCCCTGGTTACTGTTTGAGCCTTGTGTGCCCAGCAAGGGAATGGGACGCCTTATCAGGGATGCGGGGGTCAAACTCCAAAGGGTATCCTCTGCCCGTTGCAAGAAAGAGAGGGGGAAAGCGGATAAAGGAAAACACAACAAAAGTATGCCAGGCTCCTTGGAGACCTCTGCTGATGGGAAGGAAACGTCAACAAAAGCATATTTTACAATGAACATGAAGGAGCGTTTCGAAGCAGGCTGCCGCATACTTTCCAAGATTTTACACATGGAGAAGTAGCCAAAAAGTATCCAAATGTGGTCCAAATGGCAAAAGGGGATGAATGAGGATGCAGCAGTTTGCTTTTGCCTGCTCCAATTGGGAAAAGCATGCTTTCCATACAGTCACAAATGTGGAAACTGGGACGTGTGTGGACAAGTAATGATTATCTTGGAAAGGTCCATGATTAGTATATTTTATTATGTCTGCAATGATATTCCCCAAACTGGCAAGTGGCTTCCGTTCCTCATAGCACCCTGCAGTGGCCTTCACCTACAGCTCTTGCATTTGGTGCCTTTTTGCATTAAGGGTTTTGCTTTGCAAAGTGTGATGCCAATGTCAAAAGTTATCCATGAGGAAGGACATGCAGGCTAGGAGAGGCTGCAATGGTTTGCAGATATAACCCAGACAGTAATAATAATAATAATAATAATAATAATAATAATAATAATAATGGCAAATTTTTGCTTCCTTCTCTGAATACAAAATACATTTGCAGCAACTGAAGTCAGCTGAGGATCATGGAGGAAATTTAAGTCGGAGGTGACCCCCCCCCCCCCCCAAGATTCTGTAAAAGATAGTTCAAGATCAGGGAATTATTTATTTATTTATTTATTTATTTGCTTTGCTTGTATACCGCAGTTTCTCAGCCTAACAGGCGACTCAACGCGGTTTACAACAAGAATAAAAATCAACACGATATACAATATAAAACCACAAAAGCATAATATACAATATTAACACAACAGTAGATAACACAATACATCTCATAACAAGAATCATGATCCAATTCGTCGTCCGATTTTCCAATTCCTGTAATCATCACATTGATTGCACTGTTTAACCGAATGCCCGTTCAAACATCCAAGTTTTTAATCTTCTTCGGAACACCAACAGCGAGGGGGCTGATCTTACCTCCATGGGAAGGGCGTTCCACAGCCGGGGGACCACCACAGAAAAGGCCCTGTCTCTCGTCCCCGCCAGCCGCACCTGTGAAGCAGGCGGGATAGAGAGCAGGGCCTCCCCAGAAGATCTTAGGGTCCTGGCGGGCTGATAGGCAGAGATACGTTCGGATAGGTAACTTGCCAGAACCGTTTAGGGCTTTATAGGCCAACGCCAGCACTTTGAATTGAGCCCGGTAGCAAATCGGCAGCCAGTGGAGCTGGCAGCAGCAAAGGAGTTGTATGCTCCCTGCGCTTCGCTCCTGTTAATATCATGGCTGCCGAGCGTTGGACTAGAGCTTCCGAGCCGTCTTCAAAGGCAACCCCACGTAGAGAGCGTTGCAGTAGTCTAAACGGGATGTAACCAGAGCGTGGACTACCGTGGCCAAGTCAGACTTCCCAAGGTACTGGCGCAGTTGGCGCACGAGTTTTAACTGTGCGAATGCTCCCCTGGTCACCGCCGAAACCTGAGGTTCCAGGCTCAGCAATGAGTCCAGGATCACACCCAAACTGCGAACCTGCGTCTTCAGCGGGAGTGCGACCCCATCCAACACAGGCTGTAACCCTATACCCTGTTCGGCCTTACGACTGACCAGGAGTATCTCTGTCTTGTCTGGATTCAATTTCAATTTGTTCGCCCTCATCCAGACCGTCACAGCGGCCAAGCACCAGTTCAGGACCTCATAGTTTTACCAAGGGTACCATGCTGGAATGATCCTATAATCCCCTATCTTTCCTCCATGTGGGAACCTAAGGCTTCTTCCATGGCCCCGCATGGCAACGCCCCTGTAACCCAAACTAACATCTGACCAATTTGGCTATTTATT